GAGCTCCACCTCTAGGCCACCGCACCACTCCTAACAGTTTCTGCCCATCTGCCCGCCAAAACATAGTGTCGCTATTCAGAAGCAGAACCACCAAACCTAACCTAACATTAAGCCAGGGTGTTAGATCAGCTTTCTCCAACATGGCAGCTTCCCCTCCGGATATGCTGGGATTTTAATTCTCCTGACAGGGAGCGATGAAGACTGTAGTCCAACACACCTGAAAAGGGAAATATTTGAAAGAGGCCAACGCTGATCTCTGTTCCTTCATTGTGTGTTTCCATGTTAAGCAGTGAATCATTACTTTTGGATCAGCCCGGGATGTACATTCAAAAATAAACACCAGGTTTTCCCGTAAAACAGTCCAGAGCAGGTAGAATTGGCCTCTGAATTATAGGTTTCCTAACCTCTCCTTATTTCCCTCAATCCACTGCATGGCACTCGGTTATGATCACATATCAAAGCAATTTAATGAAGCAAATATGAGAATAATAGCAATTGATGACTTCAGGAAAAAAAAAAAAAAACAACCTCGGCTATTCCTTGCTGAGAGCTACTCCCTTACTAGTGTTGGCTGGGAAGTCTGACATACACACATACATTCCACGTGATTTGTTTCTACTGGCATCTCTTCAAAAAATATAATTGCACATTGTTATAATCTACAGCTATTTTACCGGCAGCCTCACTGTAAATCTGTGGTGACGAATCGGCCCCCAGGCGCCTTTAACTTATGCGTCTACCCAGAAGTTCTAATAGAAAGTTCCAGTTTGGATTCCGATTTTTGCTGACTGTAACGCTGCGTTTTTCAGAGGAGGAGGAAAAAGGAAGTGTCTCTTGATGGAACAAAACAAAGAGAGCAAGGAATAATTGGATCCTGAGCTCAAAGGCTCTCCTAGGCCAGCACCCAAATACTCAACGAACCAGTTGCAAAAATTATGTAACATTGACTGATTCACGTGGTTATTTTAAGTGGTTCACATCGGAGAGATGCCAAGAATTTACACCCAGAGCTCCTGAAACTGGCAAAACAATCTGTTCGGTAGAAAATCCAGCTTCGAGAAGCTCAGGCACGACGCTACCTCTCCTAAAACCAGGAAAAGCAAAATGGTCTGTAAATTACTACTTATGGTTCTTCCTCCCACAGTCTTAACTTTACAAGCTGGCTCTGGACAGACGGTGAGAAGCTTGGAAAACAAGCTTTAAAGCAAGCATGTTTAGCCTTCTAGTCAGCTATGACTATGACCTCCAAACTGCAGGTCGTTCTCGGCCTTCGACCATAATCGAGCTCAACATCTCTGTTACTAAGTGAGGCATTTGTCAAGTGAGCCTTGCCCCCATTTTACCACCTTTCTTGCCACAGTTGTTAAGTGAACCATTGCCGTTAAGTCAGTCACAGGGTTGTTAAGTGCATGTGGCTTCCCCGTTGACTTTGTCAGAAGGTCGAAAAAGGGGATCACTCGATCCAGGGACATGGCAACCGTCATAAATATGAGTCTGAATTTTGATCCCATGACCATGGGGAGCCCGCAACGGTCATAAGCACGAAAAATGGTCATGAGTCACTTTTTTCAGTGCCACTGTAACGTCAAACGGTCACTAAAAGAACTGTCGTAAGTTGAGGACTATTTATACTCTATTCCATTCCTCACACCCTTCATTTTTCCTCTAAACTAAACATGCCCAATCTTTACTGATGTCAATAGAAGAGAATTATTTGTAGCTCAGGGTTGAACTGTGGGAGCCCCTGGTGCTGAGCTTGGCTGTTTGCTGGCAAATATTTCATGATGTTAACTAGTTGGTGATTAGTTAACTAGTTGGCTAACTAGTTCATGATGTTAAATATCCAAGCAAACAATCAAGCTCAGACAGCATCAAAGAGTCTAGTGTCTTTACTGAGTTAGGGATTTTTTTTTTCACCAAAAAATAAAATTGAACAGTTTGGAATTTCAGAGTCTAAAGTGCTTGCCACCCCCACTTCTTCTCGGTGACTCGGTTTAAATTGTGGTTAGCCTATATTTCAAGCTCTCTTGTAAAAGGAATGATGCCCAGGGAGCCTTCCGAGCAACAGTAAAGCAAACAAAATGTTAAACATGATTGAGCAACTGTGTCAGGAGGGAGGGGCTGAGAACAGAGAATACGCTGGCTCTAGATACAAATCTGAAAAGGAAAGAACTGCAAATTCTATGACGGAAGTGGTATTTAAATTGCAACAGAGTGCCTTTTCCTTTTAAATCGGTGGTGGAGCTGGGGGTGGGGAGAGAAGACTGAAAGAAACCTGGCAAGATTTTAAAAATAAATGTACTTCTCTACTCCCTAGATATACCAGCTAAAAAGCTTTTTTTTTTTTTTTAAATATCTGTCTCTCTTCTAATGAACTTAAAGGAGGAAAAGATAAAATTACCATAATCATTAGGTCATGGTAGAGGAAGCTCCACCCCAAAACTGAACAGCCATTACATGTCAGGAAGTGGTTTCTTTTAAAAAAGGCACTGAATCAGCCTCTAATAGAATAAGGGAGAATATCTCTCTCTAGCATCGTTCTTCCTGAAAGCAAATATAAACTGACCACAAGGTATAGTTTTCTTCTCCCATCGTCTCTCAGTGTTTAGAAGAGGTTTTCACTGTGGACTACTATTCTAGGCAGCACTGGATGACTGGGGATGATGGGAGATGTAGCTAGCAACAGATCTAGAAGTGCGGAATTTCAGGAAACATAGGGATGAGAGAAGTTTGTGACAGCGTCTAGACATTTGTGGCTGATCTCCAGAAACCAAAGCAGAGTCAGATCAGGTTATTATTTGGAGAGGAGGGGCCACCAGGAAATGTAAGGCAGGAAATCAGAAACACGTTGTGGGAGGGGAGGTAATTTCTACACATAGATGTGCCTCTGTAACCACCACAATCTAAATTCAAATCCAGGGAAGTCTTACCTTTGTCCAATCCAGGTAGCAGCATTTAAGCTAAGAGGCCACTGGGGGTCAGCCCCCCTGAATGGATTAATTCAGAGTCTTGACTAGATAGTTTAAAAACACCGCAGAAAGAAAGTAACAACAGCAAGCCGTCGCCATATTGTTGCCATAAATAAAGCAATATAAGCAAGGACAGAACAGTTGAGTTGAGTTGAGTTTGCCTTGCTGTTATCCCCACTTCCTTGTTTAGTCTTTTGAATTAGGGCACTTCCCTAATCCAAACGCCCGAGAGGAAATGAGGAGAATGGAGATTTGAATCAAAAGCATTAATTAAGAGATGTACCAAGGCGCAAAAAGGTTTGTGGAGTGAGTGCATTTTAAAAAAAATATCTTAATTTATCCAGAGGCAGATAAGCTAAGCATAAGAAATGCAGCTTCAATACATACCTAATGGATGACTTCAAGCCAGGGAACTCTTCCAGCTTGGCTACCTGATAGGGTTGTTGTTGTGGGGCAAATAGGAGGGGGGCATCTATGTACACCAACCCTTAGCTCCTAAAGCAATAAAGGTAAAGGTTCCCCTCGCACATAGGTGCTAGTCATTCCCGACTCTAGGGGGCAAAAGCCGTTTCAAAGCCAAAGAGCCAGCGCTGTCCAAAGACGTCTCCGTGGTCATGTGGCTGGTATAACTCAATTCCAAAGGCGCACGAAATGCTCAGCCACTGAGCCACCGTGTCCCTCCTAAAGCAATAGGGGCTATATAATTCTAATCAATATACCCTGTTTCCCCCAAAATAAGACATCCCCTGATAATAAGCCCAATTGGGCTTTTGAGCGCTTGGCAATATGGCCAAGCGCTTATTTCCGGGTTCAAAAAAATATAAGACAGGGTCTTATTTTCAGGGAAACACAGGTAATTGATTAGAATTCTAAGAATTCTGATCAATTATTAGAATAAACTATTAGAATTCAGAATACATTCTAATATATTCATTAGAATTCTAATCAATTGTTAGAATAAACTATTAGAACTCTATTCTATTAGAATACATTCTAATATATTTGTTAGAAGTCTAACTGATTATTAGAATAAACTATTAGAACTCTATTAGAATACATTCTAATATATTCATTAGAATTCTAATTGATTATTAGAATGAACTATTAGAACTCTATTCTATTAGAATACATTCTAATATATTCATTAGAATTCTAATCAATTATTAGAACTCTTCTATTAGAATACATTCTAATATATTCATTAGAATTCTAATCAATTATTAGAACTCTCTTCTATTAGAATACATTCTAATATATTCATTAGAATCCCAATCAATTATTAGAACAAATTATTAGAACCCTCTTCTGTTAGAACCTAGTATATTGATTAGAATTCTAATTTATTTAGAATTCAAAATAAATACACAATTCTAATACAACAATCAATCCAAAACTCCATTCTTAGGGTACAGCAGGCCGAGGAAGGAGGCTGCAAATATTTGGGGTTATGACTCAACACTCCCCATTGCTGGCTGCTCTTTTTATATATCTATATCTATATCATCTATATCTCTATCTCTCTATCTATCTAGATAGATAGATATACACACGTCTTTCTCTTTAGCCAGGTTCTACTTACGTAAACCAAGATGTTATACAGCCCTAGTTAACCCAAGTAACATCTTGGTTTACGTAGGTAGAACCTGGCTAAAGAGAAAGACACATAAAACCTACGAAAAAGAAAGAAAAACAAATATATATATGTGTGTCTTTGGTTTTCTTCAGAAAACAAATATATATATATATATAAATTTAACTTTAACCTTGACAATTAACTTATATATAAAACTTATATAGATAGATATAGATATATAGATATAAAATAAAAACCCAATGAGGGAAATTCCTCCTCCTGCCGACCTGAGGGAGAAAGGAATCCCCCCCCCCCCCCCCCCCCCAATGTTTTAAATGGCGCCGTGTTTTTATGGAGGAAGCCGGTAACGACGACGACGACGATCAGGGGGGGCCTCTTCCCTGCCCGATTCAAACCCCCGCCGGTGTGTGGTTGTCGAAAGGCAGGCCTGGCGTTACCTGAGGATATTGTGGGCCTCCATGCTGCGGTTTTGGTTACTGGAGCAAACCACAGCCACCCGGAGCGGCGAGGAGGGCATGGCTGGCTGGCTGGCTGGCGGGGCGCTCCTCTCTCTTCCCCCACCCCCCACGGCAAGAGAGGCAGAGAGAGCAGGGGCTGGGGAGGGGTGGGCCGACCGAAGGCCCGCGGCGACGCTCCCGACGGCGGCGGGGAAAAGATGCGGCTGCTCCTCCTCCTCCTCACGACGACGACGGCTTCCTCCTTCTCTCTCTTTCCCTCACGAACAAAATGGCGGCCGCGCAGAGCGGAAAAGGCGGGGCCCGGCGACGTGTCGCCGTCCCTTTCACTTCCGCCGGGCCCCCTCTCAAAACCATAGAGGGGAAGGGGACGGAACGGCCCCTCTCGTTGGTTATAGTTCCGTGAGGTAAGGGTTTTTTTTTTCCTTTTTTTTTTAACCCCCCCCCACACTCCCTCCCCCCTCAGCCTTGGTCTGTGAGGAGAAACGGGAACGACAACTCCATGCCTCTCTAGAAGCCGTTTCCGGCGCTCCCTTTAAAAAAAAAAAAAAAAAAGGAAAAGACCCGAAGGCGGGGAAACAGCGCCGCCCTAACGGCTGTTGTTAAACACCACGCCGTGTGCTTTATCCGTTTTTTTTTAACCGCCCGTCCGTTTCGCTCAAGGCATCCTGGGATTTGTAGGCCAGCGTCGAGCGTTCGGCCCGTAGCGGCCTTTGCGCCGCCCGGAGGAAATACATTTCCCATGACCCCTTGCGATTACCTCAGGGGGAAAGGACAGACATGGAGTCCTGAAAAGCGGGGAGGAGATTCCTGACAGGCTTTCGTTTCAAACCGGGGCCTTCCAGAGGAGCGTGGACTACACCTCCCATGCTTGCCTAGGTATTCCCAGAGTTATGGTCTCACGACTCCGCTTCAAATACAGTGAGGCTTGCATTCACACAAGACGCTTATCCCAGTCATGAAAACCAACCCACTTTCTCCTTTTGGACAAGGAACTTGGCCTGTCAGCTAAACCAGGTTTATATTGGGATGTCATGTTAAACTATAGGAGTGGTTCGGTGGCCTAGAGGTGGAGCTCTCGCCTCACAATACATGAGTTCAATCCTAGATAGAGGCAGATATTTCTCTTCTCTGGGCGCAATGAGAAATATATCCGCCGAACAAAACTCCGTTCTGGTGACAGGAAGGGCATCCGGCCAGTAAACGCCATTCAGTTACTCCGCAAGGGATTACGGGGTCTTTAAAAGAAAGATGATCATGTTAAACCATTTAAAAAAAAAAAAAGACTCAAATTCAATCTTGACCAAAATTAGCATGTTGTGTGAATGCCGTTAAGAGTTAATACTGAATATCTTGTTTCTACACACCGCCACTAACTAACTGACCAAGCCCACTTGAGCTTAGTGCGTGGCGTCGACCTTCATGGTTAGTTTAGGGGACTGGCTTGGACAAGCTATGTTTTTAAATGCAACATGGTTTATTCCATGAGGTCAATGCAACTGCTGCAGTGTTTTCCCCAAAAATATAAGACCAGGTCTTATATTTTTTGCTCCAAAAGATAAGCATTAGGGCTTATTTTCCGGTTAGGTCTTATTTTGGGGGGGAAATAAAGTACTAAAGGCCTCCGTCTGTTGACGATCTTAACGGGCTTATTTTGGGGGTAGGGCTTATATTCCGAGCATACTGAAAAATCATGCTAGGCCTTATTTTCCAGTTGGGTGTTATTTTCGGGGAAACAAGGTAGGTTGTAATGTGGCTGGCTTGTTTGTGTGCAAACCTGGACAATATAGGTTGGTGTGCACCTAGGAAAAATGGGCTTCTTTCCCAAACTTTTCCAGCAACATCATTCCAAGATTTGTTAAAATTTAGGCCCAAGCGCATCCTTAAAAAAAACAAACCAGAGAGATTTAACTGCAGTGCCTGTAATATAACTTTACCAGCCCTTCAACTATAAAATCCTCCACTTCGAAAATTGCAAAAGAAAAAAAAAAGGTTTTAAAAACGTCAGGGTTAAGAATACATTAAATTACCCTTCTCCTTTCCTATCTTATGAATTTTTTTACTTTCCTCTTGGTAGGAAAAAAAATAGAAAAGCTGGGAGAAACCTGGGGGAAAAAAAAAGTCATACTCTGGACCCCTTCCTCAAATAATAAATGAAAGCTACCCCTCTTCTCAAACAAGACTAAACAGAGGTAAATAATCCAAATATGAAGATCTTATCCAAAACCAAGAGGCCTGCTGCTCAACGGACTGCCTTCGTGCCCTTTTAATCATTGTAACAGTCTCCCAAATCAGCTTTTAAAAATTTGCTTTTGGTTCCATTAAACACTTTTCCCTACGTTTTCATCAGCAGAATTTGACATCCCGGCTTTCCTAAAAACACTTCCGGTGAATCCCAGACACCCCGAATTCTTTGTAGTCCTCCTGGGTAAACCACATTGGTTGAAAAGATACCAAGTTACTAATAATTGATGCGCCCACCCAAGCTGCGCAGGACCTTTCCGGGGGCGTTATGATCCGTATGGGAACCCCGTTTGGGACGTGATGCTCAATCTCTTTAAAGATTCTTTCATCCAAACCCCAGAAAAGAGACGACCCTCCTGAGAGGACCACGTTCCCATATAAGGGAGCCCAAATGTCCTTGTCGCACTTCCGGATGCTCCTGGTGATCATGGTATGGATGCCTGGTGCCTCAACACCAATGGTCTTGGGTGTAAAAAGGATTTCTGGCGCTTGGCAGAGATCCAGATGGATCTTGATGGTATTCCCATCGGGCATCTTCACAATCTCTTCCACTTTCTTCTGAGCTTCTCGTTTGGGATCCAAAGCCACATAGCAAAAATTCTCTTTGATGAGCCTCAACATGGTTTTCTTGCCTCGGGTCACTAAACCGGGGTTATTCTCCAACAGGAGATTGGCAAAGTAGTCGGTCACGTCCCTTCCTGCCAGAGGGAGTCTGGATACGCCATGAGGTAAGCAGTATCCGTCATAAATCGGGACAGCGTGGGTCACTCCGTCTCCGCTGTCCAACACCAAACCGGTGGTACGAGCCGAGGTATACAAAGCTAGAGTAGCTTGGATCGCAAGGTACAATGCCGGAACTTTAAAGCTTTCAAACATGAGCTCTGTCATTTTTTCCCGATTCTTCAGCGGATTCCTGGGGGGCTCTGAAAGAAACGCAGGCCTTGTGCTGGGCTTCACTTTAAGTTCGTGCCTGTAGATATATCTCAGCAGTTTCTCCATATCATCCCAACAGGAAATAATCCCCCGTTGCACAGGATAATTCAGCAAGGCCCCTTTCTTGGCCAGGGCTCCGCCCCCAATATAAATTTCCTCCGGTTTCTCTCTGAAACGACCAACAACGGATGGGACAATGGATTTTGGTTCCGTCTCACCAGAAATCCCAGCTTTGCAAGACCCGGATCCATTGTCAATGATTACAGCTGGGGTTTGTAAGATTTCGACATTCAACATGGCTCTGCCGTTGAAAGAGCCCAAATGCTAGGATTTTTAGATCTGGTTTTTTTCTTTCAGAATGACAGATAGCGAAACATTCTCAGGGATTTGACATCACAAATGGACAGCTTCTGCCCTGGTTTCCTCCTTTAAACAAACAGGTTTGCAAGCTCCTCTGAAGCTTTGGACCACGGCTATTTTTGGCATCAGCTGAAGCTAACAGGAGCTGATTCAGAACCTCTGGAGGGCAGCAGGTTGCCTACCTCTGACTTAAATTATCATTCTTTCAAAGAATCCTGAAAACAGTAGTAGTGAGGTGGAACTTAACAATCTTGACAGTGCTTCCCCGTCTTCTTAAATTTTAATGTCTTCTTTCATCTTAGTACCATAAAGGCAGAGAATTAAAAATCTTTTCTAAACACCCTTTGTTTCATTCAGGCATTTTCTCCTAAACAGATTCTGACTCATTTACTTGCTAAACAGACAAAAAATTGTTTAGCCATGCTTCAGAGGTGGAGTTAAAAGAAACATTGATGTCCATAAGCAGCACATTCCATCCCCCTGCTTTGCAGCAACCAAAAATAAATGGATTTATTTGTTGAATATCAAAATGCTGAAGATCGTTAATACGGTACAGCTCTGAGTTTGGAGGCTATTGGATGTAGTCAGGAACATGCCATGGAAAATCCCAAAGATGTCCCAACACATTTATCAACGGATCCAAGAAGAGGAAGGATTTTTCTCTCTCCTTTAATAAACGCAGTCAACTTGTGGTTGACTGAGCGGTAGATTTAATAAGGCTGAAGTGGAATGCAAATACTTCACCTTCTAGGCAAGGAGATCAGTGTTAGCCTAATGAAAGGTTTCCATCAAAGACTGACAAGCTCTCATGAGCCGATTATGAATGGAGAATTTCTCTCCATGCAGAATCTTAGCATGAGAAAAGAAGAAGTAAACCAGAGATGGTATTCAGCCGGTTCGGGAAAACTGGTAGCAGAAATCGTGGGTGCGCCACCCACCGGCCCCAGCTCTATGCTGTCCTATTTAGGCATGCTTTTGAGGTCGGGCACATGCGTGGAGGTGGCGCGTGCGAGTGAAGCTCACATTTTCAGTGCTGAGCGAACCGATAGGTAAGTTTTGTGAATCCCACTTCTGAAATAAACAGTCACCTATAAGATTCCATGGCCAAAATCAGGTTCAAATCTAGGTTTCTCCAGTCCTGATCCCCTATCAACTTTTATGGTGCTCTTTTGAGACTTCTCGTCTCTAATTTCCCTGTTAGCAGATCCTGAGAATAACAGATCTTGACTCCGCTAGATGGCAGCCAAATGTTGGAAATGTTTGAATCCTTGGAGCACGGGGGAAAAAAAAGGGGGAGCGAGAAAGGGTTAAAGAAATACAATGGATGAATTCCTTCCAGCTAAGGTTGTCAATTGGCCAGCGAAAAAAATAGGACTGGTCAGTTCTTTTGGATGTCAAAGAAATGCAAAAATGCACAAATCAGTCCCTGTAAAACTTTTAATAACACTGCGGCTCTCTGGCAGATCCCTGCATAGCACACAGATTCCCAGGTCTGATCCCAGTAGCTTTCTTCAAAAAAAAAAAAAAAAAAGCTCACAAGTTAGAAAACACCATTTTCTTTTTGATTCCTTCAGGAATTATGAACAGCCATAACCGATTGTGGACAAAGTTGAGCAGCCTCCCGTTGGAATGAAAATAATTCTGCTCTATTCTGTGCTTTGTAAGGCAGAAGCTAAATCTTACACCATTTACCTGACACATATCTACTTAAATTTTTTAATTATTAGCTTTGGGAAATGTAGGTAGCTGAGGATTAAAAAAATGCTCCCTCCAAGCACGCGTTTTTGAACTGAGCCACTGCATCCCCTATCTCTACCTCCCCCCTTATGTTCCCACGGCTCCACCCGGTCTCGCTGTGGCAGCCCTGAAGATGCTCCCAAAAATGACTTCAGGGCTGACAGGCTGTTCCCCACCCCCCTCCCCTCAGTTGAGAAGGACCTCCTGCAAGAGAAAATCAAAGGGAGGTTAGTCCGCATCCCAATCAACCTCCCCTTTCCCCCACCCTTTGAGTTTATGAGGGTGACTGCAACATTTGGACTTCCTACCAGTAGTAGCTGCACAGCTTGGGCACTAGAGCTATCCATGGTGCTTATTTCTCTCTCTCGGACCGAAGCCTTTGCAACCCAATTTGTCTGCCTTCATTTAAGCCTTCCTAGCTTTATTCTTCCTTGCCTTCTCCTTGCTTGGAACTTAAGTTTCTCTCTCGGATGGCAACTTTATTATTATTTATTTATTTATTATTTATTAATTCAATTTGTATGCCGCCCCTCTCCGAAGACTCAGGGCGGCTGAGTAAAGTTTACCCAGAAAAGAAGAAGTTAAAAGTCTCAGGCTGTTATCCATCTTCGTGTTGAGATTTTCAATGGGCTTTCCCCCCCCCTTTTTTGGAAGGTGGGGATATATTTCAATAATGCACAAATGTCCACTTTCATTTTAATAAGCTGCCACGCCTTAAACAAAAACTATGACAGTTATTAGCGTAAATCAGGATTATCTGGTGGAGGAAGGGAAAGGCAACCGAGCAAGACTGCCCTGTAGCAATGAAGGAATTCACCAAAAAGGGCAGAGCAGTGCAACAAAATGAGCATCCGCTGCATTTTGCATAATATTTGATATATTTTTTACACTACTATGCAGCTAACAATGGAGTCCCAAATCTAAACTAAGGGATGCTTCAGAAACTGAATTCCTCCGCCCATACACACTCATGATGGGAGGGGGGGTGGATTAAGCAGGCCTCCCAAAGAGAGCAGAGCTGGCTTAGCCTTCTTTGAAATCAAGGTAATAATAAGATATATATCATCTTAAAAGAGCTGGAGTTTAAATCATTACGGCCAGAGTCTAAAATGGTACACCACCGCATTCTACCAACGATTCCATTCGATCTCTCCCTGTTCTCAGATGCATTGCCTTTCCCTAAATCCCCCCACCCCACAACCTCTCTTTTGTGTTTTTATCCATCCCTTTCCTCTGCCTGAATTGGCAATTAGGACTGAGGAAAAGGAGGGGGGGCGCGATTGTGCGCCTTTATTTACAGCTCTTTGAGAAAGCTGTCTGGTGCAGTTGCATTTCTATTCCTGCCTCGCACGTGCTCATCATCCGATTTAAAAATAGACCTCTGTTGTTCCCATCCTGTTTTCTATTTGTCAATATGGTGAGGAAGGTGCTTTCTTCCTGTTCCCCCCCCCCCTCATTTTTAAGGAAAAAAACCTCTTCATTTGGAGAGAAGGGGAGGGAAGAAGGAAAGACAGAGAGAGAGAGAGAGAAAAGTTATTTACAGTCACTTAGGTAGACCAGAAGAGAGAGAGAAAAAAGAGTGAATAAGGATTTTTTTTTTTTTGCTTAAAATTCCTTGCCAGTGATAGTTGTTTTTAAATATATTAAGCTCCTTGCTAGAGGAAATCTGTATCAATCATGCAGGGGGTGCTATATATTTTGAGGGGCAGTATAGATTTGGAGGGACGTGGTGGCTCAAGACGCTGAGCTTGTCGATCGAAAGGATGGCAGTTCAGCAGTTCGAATCCCTAGCGCCGTGTAACTGGGTGAGCTCCCGTTACTAGTCCCAGCTTCTGCCAACCTAGCAGTTCGAAAGCATGTAAAAAATGCAAGTAGAAAAAATAGGGACCCCCTTTGGTGGGAAGGTAACAGCGTTCCGTGCGCTTTTGGCGTTGAATCACATGACCACGGAGACGTCTTCGGACAGCGCTGGTTCTTCGGCTTTGAAACGGAGATGAGCACCGCCCCCTAGAGTCGGGAACGACTAGCACATATGTGTGAGGGGAACCTTTATCTTTACCTTATAGATTTGGAAGCTGGTCTGTTGAGCAGGGAGCTATCTCTCTGTCCAATAGCTGCCAATTTCTGATTCGCTTCCCTGATAAATTGCTGCCTTTATTCCCCTTCCCAGCACCTTCTGCCTATGAACAGAAAGACATAAACAGACACACATACCCCTCCCCAGGACTATGCATCTACCAAATTCTGATTTCTCCTCGTTGCCTCCAGGCTCCGTCCTTTACTTATTTGGCAGCATAAAACATTGGTTTCAAATACAAAGGGAAATACATCTGTATCAAGTTGAAGGTCAAGTTTGGAATATCAGCCTTTTTCCTTGAGGGGCTAGCTTTCAATGTGCGGTGAGGTATACCTGGAAACCTCATCAGGTGTTCCTATCTCTGCTACATTCAAAACAATGTGCTGTATAGTCCGAGAACCATAATTCTTTGGAGCATGAACAAACTCCTTGCTCTTTTGGAGGTGGGAGGAACAGAATTCCAAAGTTGAGCTAGAGACGAGGCCAAGTTAAACTAGAGCAGGGGTCAGCAACCTGCAGCTCTGGAGCCGCATGTCACTCTTTCACCCCTCTGCTGCGGCTCCTTGTCACTCAAAATATGTGTCACAACCGTCAATATGCGACACCCGCCAGCATGCGATTTATTGAGCTTTTCAACCCCGGGTAGGCTGACCATGGATAAATCCAAGAAAAGAAAAGTTTCAGAAGAAAACAGAAGGTTTAATTCAACTACATAGGATAGTTTTGTGGCTGCTCAAGAAATAGTCAGGCACGGGAAGGGTTTTTGTGGCTCCCGGTGTTTTCTGTGGGAAACTGGTCCAAATGGCTCTTTGAGTATTTGAGGTTGCAGACCCGTGAACTAGAGGAACTGAATTCAAGAAAATGTCCTCACCTAGGCTTCCCAAGAGCATGAACCAGACTCCTTGTCCCAACAAAAACCCCTTTTTATTAAGTGACTGTGAATTCCTCTCATTCACATCCAGCAAAGTCTTTCAAGGGAGAATTGACAGTCACAGACCTTATCTGGCTTGGAGAGCGGCCAGCCCGATATCTTCAGAACTTGGCGAGGAGTCTCTGAGAGTCACGAACCAATTAAGCGAACTAATTGTCTCCTGCAAACTCCACTCCCCTTTTGCTCCTTTTTATTCCCTCTGGGAGGGGCCCTTCATCATCCACCTGTGGCTTTACTCCTGAGTCGACCCTTGTTCTTTAGCTGTTCCCTTTGTCTGCGCACACTGGGGACAGGCTCCAGCTATTCTTCTGCCCCACTGATGTCCGACTCCAAAGGCAACTGATAACTGACATCCATCCCTGGTCCCCTCTCTGCCTCCGATGGAGAGCCCTCATCCAAGCCTTCCCCAGACTCCAGGACTGGCCCATGTTCCTCCCCAACCTCCTCACTGTCTGAGTCTGCCACCAGCTCCGCTGGTCATTGGCAGGCCACAACAGAAAAATGAGAAGATGGAAGCTCAAATACCAGTCTGCAGACAGGAGTAGGAAGTAGATCTATATACTTCCTGAAGTTAAGACTACAATCTGAGACGATGGCCTCCAGCACAAGCTGACATAGGACACAGCCGCAACTTGTCCTAATATTGTTATTACATCTGGTTTGGTTCTGCAACCCAACAAGACAGACGCAGGCTGCAGAGGATAATTAGAACTGAAGAAAAAACTAGTCTACCAACCTGCCTTCCATTGAGGACCTGTCTACTGCACAAGTCAAAAAGAGGGCTGTGAAAATATTTACAGACCCTTCACATCCTGGACATAAACTGTTTCAATTCCTACCCTCAAAACGACACTATAGAGCATCACACACCAGAACTAGACACAAGAACAGTTTTTTCCCGAATGCCATCACTCTGCTAAACAAATAATTCCCTCAAACTGTCAAACTATTCACTAAGTCTGCACTACTATTAATCTTCTCATCATTCCCATCTCCCATCTCCTTCCACTTATGACTGTGACTGTAACTTTGTTGCTTGTATCTTTACAATTTATATTGATTGTTTCCTGATTGCTTATTTGTACCCTATGACTATCATTAAGTGTTGTACCTTATGATTCTTGATGAATGTATCTTTTCTTTTAGGCACACTGAAAGCATATGCACCAAGACAAATTCCTTGTGTGTCCAATCACACTTGGCCAAAAAAGAATTCTGTTCTGTTCTGTTTTCTGTTCTGTTTTCTGTTCTGTTCTGTTGTTCTGTTCTGTTCTGTTCTGTTCTGTTCTGTTCTATTCTATTCTATTCTATTCTATTCTATTCTATTCTATTCTATTCTATTCTATTCTATTCTATTCTATAAATGTTACTTGAATAGCCACATTCATATTGATGCATCTGAACCCCATCTTTTGTAAACTCAGGATTGTGGTTTAATAATTGTACCGAGGCACAATGCGAAAACAAAAAAAGTTGACCCATAATCTGTTTTTAATCCACTTTTATTTGTTTCTTGATGGAAAAGCCTGGGAGGCAGTGAACTTCTTTCCTTTACAAAGCTCTCAACCCATTCTTTCGTGTTGCACGGTGACAAAGAAAAACCTTGCTCCTCAAAAGCATTTATTTTTTAAAAAAACAATTAGCAGCAACCATAATAAAAACAAATAACTCAACACATTTGTTGGGGTGCCTTAGTTTCCACTGGGAACCCAAGGGGAAAGAATCAGTGGACATCAAATCTAAAAGTGCACAAACTCGCCTAGTGAAAGCGATTACAGTAATGGAGGTGTTTGGTTAATCCTGTAGAACAATAACTGGGAAGAGCAGGGGACAATATTCAGCCTGAAGGCACAGAATTATGATTAACATAGCTTGGTTACATTGGAGCTATCACAGAAGCAAGTGGGGTAGAGCAGAGAAGGACAATCTGACACAAGTGTTGTAGAATTTACTTCTTAGAATTCAAAGCTGTGGCATAATCTCAGTTTTTCAGAGCCCTTAAACATCCTGCCTAGCAGCCAACTGAAAAATTAGTAGTTCCATCCGGCACTTCTAACATTTAACTTGACATTTTTATTTTCCCCCCACTCCCCTGCTCATCTTGTTTTTCTTCCGGGTTGTTTTAGATTGTAAAACTAACTGGTAGAAACTGCATTTTTAAAAATAGTAATCATGCTGTCAGCCTTTTATCTGGAGACAGAATAAAAAGGCTATAGAATGAATCAGTGTTTTTAAAAAACACATATACACACACAAACCAAACATCACTCCTACTATTCGTCCCTTTGCTTCTGGCAGTAGAATGTCTTGGGTTGGTCCTGATTTTAATTTTATTTCTTTTCAGTTTTGCACTCGGATGTCAACACGGAGGGGGCGTAATGGAAGTCAAAGCAAGAAACTGCCTACGGTGGTGAAATGTTGACATCTTCATCCGGAAACCCACTTTGTCATTCGTTACAAAGTTGATTTTCTTCTTTCACGGTAACAATTTCTCATTTTATATATATATTTATATTTATTTGGAAGAGCTAGCAGCTGGTCTGCGATTTTATAAAAATGTCCTAAAAGCTATCCCCAGCTGAAAATCAAAGCTACAGCTAGAATTCTGGATTCACAAAACTGCTTAACCATAAATTATTAAATAAAACACATTAGGTTGGATCTGCATAACACACTTAGGGTATTAGTCAGGACTGTCAATAAGGGAATAATATTAAAACTGCTCAGATTAAAGCCAAAGAGGAATGTTAATGTTATTTTCACAGGTTTTTAATTGCTTATATTTTCTTCTCTTTTTTTCCTGTTAGTCATCTGGGGTCCCTGATGGTAGAAAAACTGGGATATAAGTTAATAAATGCTTTTGTTTATTACAGCTGAAATTGACCAGACTTGTAATTGCCACTTTTATGCCATAAGCCTACTTTGCTCAGTATTTATGTTCCACGTTGATTAATATTTCACAGTATATTCAATTCCACACCCACACAAGCACATGAATAGGTATCCAAGCATACTTAACTGAACGGTCACAACTGCAACCGAATATAAACTTACCTGGGAGTAAACTCATTGAATAATGAAGTTTACTTCTGAGTAGGCATGCATAGGATTGCACAGTGGGCACCTCAAGAGAATGGATTTAAACTATTTCAACACAAATTTGACCATTTTTCTCCGGAGCACTGATCCAGGGAGAAACGGATGTTATTCTCATCAGCAACAGCAACATCTAAGCACGTGTTTCTAAGCACCCATCATCCTCTCTAAACCAGCCGTCAAAACATTTCAATTTCTCAAATTCATCTCTCGGAACGAGATATATATATATACTCTCTGAAACGGAGTTGAAGCTAGGAAATTCAGTATCTTTGTCTAGTCAGCCTGAAACTTAATTAAAAAAAAGGGGGGGGATAGAGAGAAAGTGGAGCGTTTACTGAAGGGTTGAAGGTAAGATAATTGGAGAAACACAAGGAAACGGGGGAAATTGCTACATATAGCTGCAGCCCAAGGAATGATCAGCTTTCCCTGGCACGGGATAAATCCACATCCAGATTCCAAAATGGAGGTTCCGGATTGATTCAAATTCCGACGAAGGCTTTTCAAATGCACGTGGCTGGGACAGTCTGAAGACGGTTTCAGGAAGAGGCTTTTTTTTTCCCCTGCGCACACACCAGCTTCTGGGTTCGAGCCCAGCAATCTCCGCACACGGAAAATTTGCACCGCGCTACAGGAAATTTGGCACACTGCTCTTATTCCCAACGGATTCTCCCAAACTTGCTTATAATCCAACCCTCAGCTGAAAAGTTTGGCCCGCCATCATCAGGGCACTTCACCTCTAGATCAACTCCCGCACACCTTTCAAGAGAAGTCATGCCCCCACCCCAGACGAACGCCAGGTAACTGCGGAGGACCAGGCGAAGAGCCAGCTGTAAGTCAGAAAGCAGCCCTCGTCGTCCCCTTCAGTCTAGGACAGTCTAGAATTTTCTCATCGCTCAAAAGAAAAAAGAAAAAAGAAAAAAAAGGCAAATATGAAATTTAGTTCAGCTCAACTCCCCGGCTCAAAGTGACGGACGCACCCAGGCAAAGGTTTTTTTTTTTTTTTTTTTTTGAGCCACGCTACCAAAGCAACGGTTTGCCGTTGCCGTCTTCCGGGAGCCTACCCTCCTGCGATCTCCTGGTGGTCTCCCATCCGATCCAAGCTTTCCCAGGCTCGGGATTTAATCCTCAATGGAAGAAACCCTTCATTTCGGGAGGGGGAGGAAAAAAAAAAGTCATCTTGGAGCTCCTGAAGTTGTGGGAGGTTCATCCCCCCCGGAGGCTTTTAGAGAAGAAACTGGACCGCCATTGGTCAGAAATGGTGTAGGCAGGTCTAGGGAAGAGGGTCCGACTAGATGACCCTTCCAACTCTTGTCAATCTGTAAGCCCTCTCCAAACTACGGCTCCCAGAATGCCTCAGCCTCTCCATGCGCGTTTTCAGCACCGGCCGGGACTTGCGGGATTTGTAGTCCGGGTCCAGCTCGGAAGGAGGGCTGAAATCCGGCTGCCCCAAAGTTGCCGAAGGAAGGTCCTCCCTGCAGATCCGACGGGGCTCAATTACCCCGCTTAGCCGAGGAGGGCGTGAGGTTCTCGGTGAGATACGCCACGAGGAGGCAGATGAGGACCAGCATGACGCAGATGGAGCCCCCGACGGCCGTCATGGCGATGACGATGTCCCGCATGCCGGCCGGCTCCACGGTGAACTCCACGCAGTCGGCCGGCTCGGCTCCGCTCCGGTTGGCGTCGGCGAAGAGGGGCTGGAGGCAGAGGCGGTAGCGGACGCTGCCGTGCGCGTCGGCCAGCATGTAATCCCGGCAGGCGGTGCCCAGCCGCACGCTGTCGCACTGGAAACGCGTGTAGGCGCCTTCCCACGAGCAGGAGAGGGCGAAGCCACGCAAGGGAGGCAGGCGATCGGCCGGCCAGGCCCACTGCAGCAAGACGCTGCCGTTGCGGAGGACGTTGGCTAGCAAGGCGCGTCCGGGCGAGCGATGAGCCGTGCAGCGCTCCGGAGCGCATTGGAAACCCAGCGCCGGGCTGCGGAAGCAAAGGCGGCCAGGTCCGCTTTCGCTCAGCACCTTGTAAGGGCACCACGGCTCCCCGACGACGCCTCCTCTTCTTCCTCCTCCTCCTCCTCCTCCTCCTCCCGACTCTTCCCCGGCTAGTTTGCGCGCCCACGGGTCGGTTCCCCAAAAGCCCGGGCAAAGCAGGGCCACCAAGAGGCAGGAAGCCAACATTTCTAGCCGGATCGGGGCATGGATAGATGGATGGATGGGCAAAGGCTTGGATCGAGGTTTTTCATCTTAGCGCGTCGCGGCGGCAGGCTGGGGAGATCGCCGACCGCCCTCGCCTCGGCTGCCCAAACGGCGGAGGCATTTCTTTTTTTTTTTCAAAGTGGCCGCTTGCAAGACGGCGCGGCACCTTCCTAGCGCTCTCTCCGCCCGGGGAGGGCGGGCCAACTCCGCCCCTGGCCAGCCGCTTCCCCTGCCTCCCGGCGCCGCCCTTGAGTCTCTCTCCGCCTGGACGCCGGGTTGTTCTTGCCTACTCGCTCGGATCGTTTAGACACCAGGCGGAGCCCCAAAACCCCGCGAGGGATGCTCTCTCCAAACCTCGGTGCGTGTGAAAACTCGCTTGCACCCTTGCTCAAATCCAGCCTTTAAAAAAACCTAGATTTCACCTGGCCACCCTGGACTGCTGGGGGTTTAAATAGAATTTTAACGGGGGTTTTTATTGAATTTTGGTTAATTTTAACCTGGATTTTTGTTTTAATGGTTTGTTTGCTTTGTTTTAATTTAATAAATTTAATAAATAAATAAATAAATAAATAATTGTTGTGAGCCGCCCCAAGTTCCATTAATCAATAAATAAGCGGGGTTGCAGCTGGTTAAGGCTTGGGTGAGAATTGAGAAACCCAAAGGGAGAGCCTGGTGTTTTATTGGTTAGACTGGGAAGTGCAAAAAACACTGCAGAAGGCGGCAAATGGGAAGAAAAGTGCCTAGTGAACCCACTTGGATACTCGTTCTGCTTGTAGGAGATCCTCTCTTCTGCTGCCATCCAAAGACATGTTTACTTTTGGGGGCCAAGTCCTTTGGAAAAAAAAAAATGCCCGCCCTTGCAGGCCATTGCAGAATTTGGCTCCCCTGCAGGAACTAGGAACAGCCAGCTCTCTGCAAACAAGACATTAATAAAAAACCTTGTCAGGGACAACGGACTGTCTTTGGCTGCAGAGGAAGCCAAATTTAGAACCCACTCGGTCTAAAGAGACTCAGCAATGCTTGTGAAATCAAAATAACAGTTTGCAGAGCCAGGTAACATTTCTTTTCAGCTGTAAAAAAAAAGGAAGAAGCCATTATTCCAGATTCAATTCTGAGCTTTCCCCGAAGATCCAGAAAGGAAGTGACAAAGGCTGGGTTCACATCCCAACATCCTTGGATTATCTTAACCACTGGTGGCTTGAATAAGCTTCCAAAATCCACTGAGGATTTTTGGCAATTAAAAAAAAAAAAACACGGCAGGGCGGAAAAAGTTCTGTGGGAAAGGTAGAAAGTTTCTTACCTGGTGGGAAGCAAAGTCCCAGCTTCCTTTTTGATAAACACTTAGTGACTTGTCCACCAGGGGGCACCCAACACATACTTTCAAAATTCCGCACCTATGCTCACTTTAACCCTCCCCCTCCTCCCAAAGTTTTGCCTTTTTTCCCTAGTAGACCAATTCCACTAAGGTAATAGATGTGATTCTAAGATGCAGACTTTTAAAAAAGTCACTAAAGAAGACAACTCATTGTCTTCAACACAACAGAATTCAGTATTTGCTGGGGCAGGAGGGACATTTTTAAGCATTGGCAAAACACCAATACGGAAGAGAGCATGAAATTGTACCTCCAATTTCTTTGTGGGTTGATCTTTAAGCAATAAGCACTTAGACTTATATACCGCTTCACGGTGCTTTTATAGCCCTCTCTAAGCGGTTTACAGAGTCAGCGTATTGCCCCCAACAATCTGGGTCTTCATTTGACCCACCTCGGAAGGATGGAAGGCTGAGTCAACCTTGAGCCGGTGGGACTCGAACTGCCGAACTGCTGGCAATCAGCAGTCAGCAGAAGTAACCTGCAGTACTGCACTCTAACCACCGCACCACGACGGCTCAGGGAGGACATTCCACCCGACTGAATCCCAAGCATTTGAAACAATGCAACCAACCTTGGGATTTCATCCAGAAACCACTTGCTCGTTAATTCTGCCAGTTGGCGCCCAGGTTTCTGGCAACAGCGTTTTCTGCCCGTTGAAGTTTGTCACTTGCAAAGGCAGCTCTGCCTAAACAGGGCTGGCAAAGATGGATATCTCCTCCCACTAACCCTGGTCCCAGTTATATTATATAAAACATCAGCCGGGCACACGGATTGCTTCCCTTGCAACCCTTTTCACAAGAGCCTTGGTAGTACAGGGGTTTAAGGCACCCTGTTATTAAGCTTATTAAGACCAGCTGCCTGCAATTACTGCAGGGTTCGAATCTCGCCAAGGCTCAAGGTTGACTCAGCCTTCCATCCTTTCTAAGGTAGGTGAAATGAGGACCCAGTTTGTGGGGGCAATAAGCTGACTTTGTATAAATATACAAAAGGATGAAGGCTATTGCTGAGCACATTGTAAGCCGCCCTGAGTCTCCGGAGAAGGGCGGCATATAAATCAAATTTTTTAAAAAAATATTCCAACTGTAAACTTCGTTCAGGAGCTCAGCCATTTGCCTTTAGGGTTGCCTTCAACACAGTGCCAGGAAATTTCTTCAATCGTGCATTACTTTTTAAGCTCGGCAGCGATCCTCTTGATGGCTGCTCCCAGGGACTTGGGACAGAACCTGGGCCGTTTGGACTACATCTCCCATTCTCCCCAGCTGGGAAGGACGTTAAATGTCAGCCGTCCCTCCGGAGGACATAGGAGTAGAGAAGGAGGCTCCCAACTCTACCTGTGGTATTTATTTCTATGGCTGACAGCGATTCGGAATATTCCCTCCGAACAATGACTCAGCCTGTTGGTTCTACCACAAATGCCCTATAAAAGAGACGACGTAGCAGGGAGGGGACGAAGGAATATCCAAGTGGGGAAAAAAAATATCTGCCTTTGCTCTTCATTTCTCAGCAGAGGTTTTGGGCCGACGCCAAGCAGCCCGAATCCAGACTGTGTCAGCTTTGATCAGACAGCTGGTGAAAGGCCTCGCATCTCTATAACCCCTGAGTGAATTGGAAACGTGGCTCGCCTGCTACGTGGCCAGGCAGATGAAGTAGCTTTGGATTAATCTGTTTGGAAAGCGCTATTTATAGCAGGCAGCCAGGGCCTGGGATGCATTAAATCAAAATTTAGAAGAGGCCTCATCTCTCTCTTGATTAATGCTTTTATGGAAGCCCAGCTGCGTTTCCACAATCCGAGTTCTCCTCTTGTTAAAAAGGCACCGGCTCCTGTTATCCTTTGGTGGTCTCCGAGGGTCTGGCTTCTCTGCAGAGTTGAACTTTGACGGCCCGTCCCAAATTGTTCTGTTTGAAACACTTCTCCTTTGATGTCCAAACTCGGAGTCCTCCAGGCAGCCCAGTCTAGCCCTGCCTCTTATGTACAGCATCACTGCTTTCCCCTCAAAATCAACATAAAAAGGGTCATTTCCATAAAGTCTCCTGGCAGACGCTCAAAGAGGAGAATATACATTCGCTTGCGGAGAAATAAAAATATTGATTTAACTTCTGCCTTCTCTCGGCCAACCGTTTGACCCAGATGGTATAAGGCAGTGGTGAAATCCAAATTTTTTTTACTACCAGTTCTATGGGTGTGGCTTGGTGTGCATAGCATGGCATGGCTTGGTGGGTATGGCAGGGGAAGGATACTGCAAAATCTCCATTCCCTCCCCACTCCTGGGGGAAGGATACTGCAAAATCCCCATTCCCTCCCCACTCCTGGGAGAAGGATATTGCAAAATCTCCATTCCCACCCCACTTTGGGACCAGCCAGAGGTGGTATTTGCCGGTTCTCCGAACTGCTCAAAATTTCTGCTACCGGTTCTCCAGAACCTGTCAGAATCTGCTGGATTTCACCCCTGGTATAAAGTCTCCTGCCTTGAGCAGGGGGTTTGACTAGAAGACCTCTGAGGTCCCTTCTGTCCCTACAATTATATGTTCTGGACTTGCCTTCCGTAGCAATTCGACCATGTAGGTAATCATGCAATGATATTTGCCATACTATGTTGTTGAATAGAAAAGAATAAGAGTTGGAAGGGACCTTGGAGGTCTTCTAGTCCAGCCCCCTGCTTAGGCAGGAAACCCTACACCACTTCAGACAAAGGGTTATCCAATTGGTTTAAGTTTTCTAGTTCTACATAGCCCATTACAGTCGTACCTTGTTCTGGGTTCCAATCTAGATTTTTTTTTCCCTCTGCACTGTTTGGATCCTTCAGCAGAGCACAATGTACTCCCCAACCCATAGAGCAAAGCTTCTCAGCCTTGGCAAGTATGAAATACGTGGACTTCAACTCCCAGAATCCCCCAGCACAGGGAATTGCCATAGAGTTCAAGAGAGTCCTATTTTTCCAGGTTCCATCCCAGCAGTGTTTACAACATTTAATGGTACCAATACTTTAACCAGTTTTCCCCTTCCCCTCTGATTGAAGGTGGGAAATGAAAGAAAAGGCATTTATTCTTTATTCCCCTGCTCCCCCTTCTTTGATAAGCTGGTCAACCTTCTCTAATTTTGCTACTTCGTGGGAGCTACCTTTCTGAACAGCTCACGCCCAGCCAGCCGCCCAACCTAATAACGATACAAACTTCGGCCTTTGAAAACTACTGTCCCGCAAAGGTGCTAAGAGATGCAAATGTTTTCCCAATGTGATTTTTTTTTTAAAGCAATGCAAATATTTTTCAACCCTTTAAAAAGAGAGAGAAGGGGGGGGGAATCTGAAATGGCTTTCTGGCACAAGTTCCCACACTGTCAGCTGCAGAAGGACGGATCCCTTTTGAATAAACATGCCTGCCTTTGTACGTTAAGCATTTGTCAATCAGCAGCGGCTTCCAGTTGCGCTCTCTTTCTCTTCCCATTATCGCAACAATGACAATTCCCCGGCACTCCTTGCTCGCTACTTATCCTTAACAAAACCCGGGACAAATAATGGACGACTTGTTACCAAATGGATTCTCTTTTTATATATGTACATACATATAAAGGTGATGACGGCAGTCACGTAAATCTGAAACGAGGCCAAAGGAAACTCAAGTAACCCGAACAAACAGTATTTCTGTGTTACATCAGGCTTGGTCCAAATGAGAGTAAGAGGGTAGGAGTCTTCCAAAGGGGGGAAAAAAAACCTTTGATTTTTTTTTTTGATATTTTGAGCTCCTTACCCCCACAAAGAGACATTCTGATGTTTGTATTCACGGTAGCATTCTGACAAGTTGGGCACTGCGTGTCAATCCTTGCCCTCGCTCACAGGAAGTGGGGAAATGGAGTATCTCTGTTGGTCAAGGCAGCCCATGACTCTCTGAAGACTGGATGGAGCTAACTTCTCCGCCTCTCGCCAAGTTTATTTGCAGCAATCTTTGGTTTGGATCAGCCTTGGGTGGCTTGGTGCTGCCTCCCAGCCCATCGTCAAAAGTAGTCCTCTTTCCTGTCAGCATCTCCAACATGGCCTTTGGCTTGGTGGAACGGTTCCAAATCTTCAGGGTCACCCACCTCGCCTCCGTGGTCCTCCTGCAAAGGAAACAGGAAGTAGAACGAGGACAGAGAAGAGCAACAAAGACGATCGGGACTGGAGGCTAAACACACAAAGAACAGCTTCTGGGATTGGGTATGTCTAGTTCAGGGGTCTGCAACCTTAAACACTCAAAGAGCCATTTGGACTCGTTTCCCACAGAAAAGAAAACACCGGGAGCCACAAAACCCTTCCCGTACCTGACTATTTCTTGAGTGGCCACACTCTTCAGTCACACACAGTCCCTCTTCAGGAGATCAACCATCAAATAGCAGGAGCATTTAAAGTCACAAACATAGTTTTTCTATATATTACCTATCCAACCGTAGGATAAATATCCAACAGCTTTCCTACCCTTTCCTTGCTTGATGCATTCCAGAGGCTTTGGGAACGATGATTCCCACAACCCAGCCAGCACAAGAAGAAAGGACGGTCTGAACCATGATGAGTTGAGAAGAGATGGAAACTGGACTGTTGCCTGACCTCATATTTTTGTGATGATGGTTGAGAAGATTTGTAATATTCAGCTGCCTAAAGGATATATTGTCGGCGAGAGATCTGCGCCGAGCAAGGGAAGGAAAGAACCACGTTCTATTCCAGATTTGCAAGCGTGGTCACCTAGAAGGGGACCTCACTCGCCCTAAGCATCCAGCCTCGCTTGAAGGCAGATCAGCGCTTAGGAAACCTCTACCCATAAACCAGCATGCTCACAGAAAGATGGCCTATGAGAAAAAAAAGCAGAAAAAAACACCAAGCTTCATACAGGATCCTGTTCTTGGTCCTCCTGATAATCGTCCATTAAATTGTCAGCAACTTTATTTGACTGATCGGCTCCCTGGGGAAGAAAGCACATACCAAAGAATAATTTGCCAAGCGAAAAGCTAAGAAATAAAGAGATCCTTAAAATGGCGGGATTGCGATGGCCAAAGGCAAACAGCCTCAGGAGCACCCTATGCTATAGAGCGCCTGAAAATTCAGCATAGCCGGGCCAAACGTTTTTTGGGGAGAGAGAAAAAACCTCTAACGGACCAACAAATCTCTATCCAACTATTTAACTGAAGGAACCCAAGCAGGCTGCTTTCCAACTGTAACAAATCTGTTTTAAATCAGAAAATGCTCGAAGCCCCTTTCAGAGGCAAACTCCAACCCCCCCAAATCAGTTTGGGGCACTTAATTCAGGAGAGATTCCCCAGGATCCTCTAGATCAGGGGTGTCAAACTCAAGGGCCATATCCAGGCCGCAATGTCAGATCCGGGCCCCGGGGCCATCCTGGAAAATGTAACGGGCCAGTCCGCATTGCTTCAGCCCATTCTACCCAATGCAGCTTTGGCCCGGTCTACCCAGCGCAAAGAGGAAACATCGGGCCAACATGGCTTCGGCCCGGTCTACCCAATGTGAAGCAGCGGTGAAATCCAACTGAATCTATCCGGCTTGCACGATCCGGTAGGGCCGGTGGCAGGAGGCTCTGCCCACCCACTCGGACGTCATCATGTCTCGTTTTTGCCCGTATATGTGCTCACATTTCCGATCTAGTAGCGAAGGTCAGTGCATTTTACCCCTGGTGCGAAGAGGAAACATGCCAGCAGTTTGGGGAGTGGCGTCAAGCTGGCCACGACCACCCAGTTGGCCACACCCACCCGGTTGGCCACGCCCACCTGGCTCCCCAAAGTCAACCACAGCCCTGATGCGACCCTCAATGAAATTGAGTTTGACACCCCCGTTCTAGATCCTAGTGCCCATCCTGTGTGGAATTCCGCTGTCGGTTTCACTACAAACACCTTCCCTTCGAACGACGTTGGTTTCTGCGTCTCTCCACCCAACTTCTAAACAGAGATAAAACGAACCTTCGGTATTTTTTCCCTGCTCACGGCAATTGCCGGCCGATTTGTCTGGTGGGGTTGTTTGGATGGATCTGTTTTTTCTTCAAAGCTGGGTCGTTCCAGTTCTGCCTCCTCAAACTCATCTTCCCCTTGATTGTTGGGATCCTGAGCTGGGTCAGCAACATCTTTAGGTCCCTGAGAGGAGAGAAGGATCACTTAGACCTGGGCTCAGCCCTTCGTGGTAAACCAGCTCAGGAAAGGGACCTTCGCCATGATTCCAGAAACGCCATTTTATCGTCGAAATTATATCCGAATCTCAAAAGCCTGCTGGAGGTTTTGCCTCCTCTTATACTAAATAAAACCAAAGTGGAGTTATTTTGGGTGTCCTTGTCACACCTTTCCTATTCAAGGACTGAGGTGTCATTTCCTTTTCTCAGCAGCACCTGAATATCATTCTCAAAGTTATCTCTGCATGTCTTTATAGGCTTCACACGTGATGCCAAATGTCGGCCAAGCCATCTTCTTAAAATGGACACCTAACATCAAAAACATCATCAAAAAACCCACAACAAAGAATGTTCTTCCTGCGCCAACTCAGGAAGCTCAAACTGCCAAAAGAGCTGCTGATCCAGTTCTACAGAGGGATGATTGAGTCTGTCATCTCCACCTCTATAACTGTCTGGTTTGGCTCTGCAACCCAACAAGACAGACACGGACTTCAGAGGATAATTAGAACTGCAGAAAAAACCATGGCTACCAACCTGCCTTCCATGGAGGACCTGTCTACTGCACGAGTCAAAAAGAGGGCTGTGAAAATATCTACAGACCTCTCACATCCTGGACATAAATTGTTTCAACTTCTACCCTCAAAACGACACTATAGGCCACTGCACACCAGAACAACTAGACCCAAGGACAGGGGCATTTTTCCCCAAATGCCATCACTCTGCTTAAAAACTAATTCCCACAACACGGTCAAATTAACCACTAAGACTGTATCACTATTATTCTTCTCATCCTTCCTAGTACCTATCTCTTCCCACTTATGGCTAAATCCATGTTGCTTGTATCTTTACAATTTATATTGTTTTTATTGTTTCCTAGTATGATTTCATCGCTGATTAGTATCCTATGACTATCACTAAGTGTTGTATCTTATGATTCTTGATGGATATATTTTCTTTTTTCTTTTATCTCCACTGAGAGCGTATGCACCAAAGACAAATTCCTTTTGTGTCCAATCACACTTGGCCAATAAAGAATTCGATTCTATTCTCGTCCTAAACCAGGAGTTCTTAAACACTCAAAGAGCCATTTGGACCCGTTTCCCACAGAAAAGAAAACACCGGGAGCCACAAAACGCTTCCCATTTCTTGAGCGGCCACAAAACCAGCATATGTAGTTGAATTAAATGTTCTGTTTTCTTCTGAAACTTTTCTTGGATTTATCCATGGTTGGCCTACCGGGGATTGAAAAGCTCAATAAATCACGTGCCGGCAGGTATCGCACATTGGCAGTTGTGATGCATATTTTGAGTGACAGGGAGCCGCAGCAGAGGGGTGAAAGAGCCACATGCGGCTCCAGAGCCACAGGTTGCCGACCCCTGTCCTAAACCATCTCAAATGATCCCACATTCTCTATTTCCACACCACCTTTCTCCTCTGTTGCTCCAGCTGTATCTACCATATTTACTCAAAAGAAAACAAATCGGAATTAAAAGCGACTCTTGCTACCCTCTTACCAGTCAAACCACGATTGGTTCCCACAACACCTTAACCCCCCCACCCCCCACCCAGCCTTCTTAGGAAAACGCAACGGGGTTTGCATAATGTTCGGGACACGGTGCTTCCTTTAGCAAACTGAATTGGGCAAACACCAAATCCTCTTCCATCTAATTACAATTTTGGAACTCCTTGCTGGAAAATGTGATGCTTGTTACTGATGATTTTGAAAAGAGGCTAAAGCAATTGAGGGAGAAGGCTATTAGCTGTTCCAGAGGGCCTTAAATCCTGGGGTTTCTCCTCCACTCCCCCCCCACTCAACTGTAGCCCAATGCAACTGCCAGCTGGACTTGGCAGTTCTTCTTCATTTGAAGCCTGGGCTTGCTCCCATTTAAACAACTCTTGAGCGCTTCAGAAAAATAACCTTTCTGACTTTGCTTTAAAGTTACTTCTTTGCATTGCTTACCATCTGTTTCTGGATAATTGCTTCCTTCTGTAGGTATGTGTGGTTTTCTTCCTTCGTCATGCCACCATCTGAACAAAGCAAAGTCAAGAAGCATTGGGGGGTAAAAAAAAAAAAAAACATTGAAAAAAAAACTTCGTAAGACTTTGCCTACTTCCAAATTTCCTGGCCTCCAATTAATGTATCTCTGTGTGTGTGTGTGTGATAGGAAATGATAATTACCTAACTTGTTGGGTTGGCAATATATAAACCAGCATTATAGCTTTAAGCCTGTATTGCTGGATTGTAACATACTGTGTCCTGATTGGTTAACTCTGTAGCCAATGTCCTTAAGAGGGAGCTTGAAACTTGGTTTGTTTCTCTTTGCTGATCATTATTGCTCTGTGCTGATCGTTACTGCTCTTTACTGCTCTTTGCTGTGTTTGCTACTGTTTGCAACTGTTTATTGTATATGACTACGACGACTGGTAAGAAGACTTTGTTATTGGATTATCCCTGGACTATTGTTTTACTATCTACTGCTTTATCTGTGTATGACCTGGACTGTTTATTGGACTGGGCCTTATTACTATTTCCTAAAAGGAAACACAACTCAGTGTATCTGTGTGTTGGCTGTGATTATTCGCAACTGCTCTCAGTCGCTTTCATGTGCACACCCTTGCTACTCTAGGGTTGCTCTGCGAATTCCGTAACAGTGTGTGTGTATGTTGATATTCTGCAGACACTTGGGTGTGGTTGGCTCTTTAGTGACCTCGGACAGTCACTAAATGAACTGTTGTAAGTCGAGGGGTGCCTGTACTGCTTCCTAATACTTTATAGCCCTCTCTAAGCGGTTTACAAATGTCAGCCTATCACCACCTCCCCCCCAACAATCTGGGTCCTCATTTTACCAACCTCGAAAGGTTGGAAGGCTATATAACTACCTCCCTTCCTCTCTCCATCAGTTCTTTTTTGCTAACCCCCAACTCAGCATCCGGGTCGATCATCATTTTTCTTCCTCCAGATCAATCATAATTTGCATTCTCCTTCGCCCCAATAAGTTTCCAATCAGATCCTTTCGTTAAAAAACATCCCCTCTCTTCCAGCATGGAGTCCAAGTTGAAACCCAACATTCGGATTTCCCACAGGCTCCCCCTGTGACCCTGTTCCCGAAGGGTTTCGGCTTTGATGTGAAGCAATTAACCCCTGTTCTCCAAGGGCAGTTGTGGAACGTGGGACAGCTTACATTGCGAAAACTAGGACCACCTGCCTGGTGCCGGTCACATTCCTGAGGAGATTTGCTTTCTCACTGTTCCATTTTCTGCCAGGTCAGTTGTTCTACTATAGGTGTTGAGCTGCTTTTATAACTCTCTGTTGGCTCTTTTCCCTCTTCTGGCCCACCAGTGCATCTGCCCCCTATGCCCCCGCCTTGAAGGCTGCTATGGCTACCACACAGAAGAACAGAGCGGCAGCTAAAAGAGTTGGTTTAGGACCAGGGAAAGACAACAACTCGAAACCCCCAAATTATTTTTAGATTGTAATGTGGAGAGTGTATTCGAAAAGACAGCGTGCAACGTCCTCGCAGCAGTTTTTCCCCAAGCTGAGAAGTTGCCAGGACTTCCGCTCCCAGAATTCTCCAACCAACATGGCCATGGGCTGAGAATTCTGAGAGTTGAAGAAGACCATTGCTTCTGGAGATCCTCAAGGTTGGGGATGTCTAGCTAGAGACTGTTGGAATAAGAGTGAGGAGATGCAAGTAAGGTTCAAGTCCTCACATCCTGGTCCCTGCAGGTTGACCCTCACCATAAAGTGAAGACCCAGCTGAAGACAGGGGCAGGTACCCACTCTGAGGAAAAATAACATATGAAAATAACGAAGCATTAAAATCAGCTCAACTTCCGGTATCTCGGGAAACTTGATAAGGTTCCATCTTGGCTCACCTTGAGTAGGTGGGTAAAGTCCCTTGTGAAGGTGGATAAGATCTACACTCACTATCTGTCCACCCAAGGCAATATAAAATAGGACACAAACCTTACCCACATAACTCAGACCCTGTTCCATCTTGAAGACACTCTACACAATTCCCCCCTGTTCTGTCTCAGACGATGGGACCAACCTCACCACGTTGTTCAATCCCTCCTCTTCAGCCTTACCTGCGTGCAGGTCTCTCTCATCTGCTCCTCCGTTTTCAGCTCCCCAGAGGGTGTGTCGCGGCCGCCCTGTTTCCGTCTGTGCTCGACTGCCATCTGTCCTGCCTGGCTCAGATACGGTATCCAGGTGATACCTTTGCAGGTAAGGAAGAGCCCTCCCATCGTTCATCTGCGAGCTGCCTTTGTTGACAATCTCTTGCCAGCTGCGAAGGAAAGGGGCTATTACAACCACTGTTTTCCCATTCGTTTCGTATAATTCCATAATTCCATGGAATTATATCCAAATTAGAAGGGACGCGGTGGCTCAGTGGCTAAGACGCTGAACTTGTCGATTGAAAGGTCGGCAGTTCAGCGGTTCGAATCCCTAGTGCCGCGTAACGGGGTGAGCTCCCGTGACTTGTCCCAGCTTCTGCCAACCTAGCAGTTCAAAAGCATGTTTAAAAAAATGCACGTAGAAAAATAGAGACCACTTTTGATGGGAAGGGAACAGCGTTCTGTGCGCCTTTAGCGTTGAGTCTTGCCGGCCACATGACCACGGAGACGTCGTCAGACAGTGCTGGCTCTTCGGCTTTGAAACAGAGATGAGCACCGCCTCCTAGAGTCGGGAACGACTAGCACATATGTGCGAGGGGAACCTTTATCTTATATCAAAATCGGTCCCTCAGCACTCTCTTCGGAAGTGGTATTCAGCCAGATTTGTTGGGAAAGGAGGAAACAAATTTTGTTAAAAGAAGATGGGTCCAATCCCTCAACGAACCCAAATCCCGGGTCAGAATGCAGATGTCAATTTAATCTTTGTAAAAAAAAAAAAAACCCACACAACAACAACCAAACACTCAGCTCACTCTTGGCTCCTCTTGTCTTTTAAGCTGGTCTATTTTTAATATTATGTATAGTTCAAGTGTTCACGAATGTTGCATTGCATCTTGGCAGCGGCTCGAGGGGAGAACTCTTTTAAATGAAAAGAAGGCAGAGCGGCAGAGATACCAGCTCGTAGCTGATTCTGAAGAAGGAGAATAATTTGGGAAAATAATTATTCCCATAGTTTTTACATTTGATGTCCCTTGCCCAGAGTTAACATTGAGGTCGCATAGCATACTAAGCCCCTAATGCGGATTGCTTGTTTGTAACTTAGTGTACAAGTGGTCCTCTGTTTATGACCACAATTGAGTCCAAAATTTCTGTTGCTAAGCAAGACATTTGTTCAACGGGTTTTGCCCCATTTTACAACCTTCCTTGCCACAGTTGTTAAGTGAACCCCTGCCATTGTTAAGTTAGTTAACATGGTTGTTAAGTGACTTCCCCTTCGACTTTGCTTGTCAGAAGGTCGCAAAAGGGGATCACATGACACACACACACATCCCCGGGACACTGCAACCGTCATAAATATGAGTCAGGTGTCAAACGCCTGAATTTTGATCCCGCAACTATAGGGATGGTGCAACGGTTGTGCGAAAAATGGTTATAAGTCGCTATTTTTTCAGCGTCGTCGTAACTTGGAATGGTCATTAAATGAACTATTGTAAGACAAGGACTACCTGTATTGCGTGAACCCACATGTCGTGGTATGTAAGCTGCGGCTGTCAATTTCCCAAAGTCTACCTGATCGTGGTTTGTTCACGAAACAATGCTTAGCATGACCGGGCAGGGTATGCCAGGAAAAATCCGAGGACTCACAATGGATCTTCAGCGTGCAACACTCTTTTGCACAAGTTGGTAGTGGTTTGCAAATCAAAGGCTAGAGTAAGCTGCTGGGTGGGACATGCCGTTTCATAGCCAGGCTGGGCCCTTCAATTCAGAAAGCGCAAAATACCTCTGCACCGGTTGGCCCTGCTTGTTGGAGAGCTTTTTTTCCAAAACCCGTCCTTCTTCCGAAGCAGCTGGGAGCTTGAGCCTGGGTTCAAATGCTTCGGGATGGCCCTGTTGCCCTTGCATGTTCTGTCCTGCTTCTGGATCCTGCAGTGAAAAAGAGAGTAGAAGAAGAAACCATGGCTATGTGGTCTTTAGACCTAATTCTTACTCATCGGAAAGATTCTAGATCCATGATTAGCTCCCAGCCTCCCTTGAAGGTAGGAAGTAAAATTGAACTCAGCAGGGATCAAAGATTTTTCTCCATTATTTGTATGGAGTCTACCAATGTTACTTTGATTTAATCATTTAATTTCAAAGCTACGGAGAGCCAGATCTGGATAGGAGACCTTGAGCAAAGCTCTAGAGTTGAAGGATCCATCAAAGAAGACCTAATCACTTCTTGTTGTGGTCCGCCAGCAGCCTGCGGAGCTGGCAGCGGAGTCGGACAGTGAGGAGGCTGAGGAAGAACATGGTCCAGTCCTGGAGGCTAGGGAAGGCCCGGATGAGGGCTCTGTGTCGGAGGCAGAGATGGGGCCAGGGCCATCTGGGAGTGATGTGCGGACTCCGGAGCCTCCAGAGGCTGACAGCCGAGAGGCAGAGGAACAGGAGGAGCTTGTTCCTAGTGCACACATGAGAAGAGCTGCCAGAAAACAAGAGCAGCTGAAGCAAAAAGGACAACTCAGGAGTAAGGCCAAGAGATGATTGGCCCCTCCCATAAGGCTTAAAAGACTAGCAACGTCTCTTGGGCTCTTTGTCGGCAAACAACGTTGATAAGATTTATTTCTTGTCTTGCTGCATTTAGTTCCTGTCGGTGTCTTCTGCTCTTGAACTTTTGCCAAGAAAAGCCTTTTGGCAGGTTGCCTAATTAGACCAAGGTTGGTGATTAGACTGAAGAATTTGTGTTATGAAGAATTTGTTTTGAATTAGTTTGGACTACACTGAGAATGAGTTAATTCTCAGCTGTTCTAATAAAGTCTGTTTGTTTCGAACTGATTGCGTCTGATAATACCTACTTGGGCCTGGGTCACAACACTTCTATACGGTGGCCCCAAAGACCCAACCCATTGAGAACCCAAAGGAGGTTTGACATTTACACCTTGGAATGGTAGCAAGGGGGCCAATAACCCAACGTGTCCTCAATTTCTCAAGTCTCCACTTGTCTTCTAGGGAAGCATGGTGTGGAAGGGTGTGCTATCTTAGCAGCGCCTACCACAAGCTGTCCATGGTGCTGATGATGTCTTACTTGACTGTTGTAGTCCACTCAACTAGACTTCTGCAACTTTTATCTATCCAAACTCATTCGATCCATTTATGCTTGGACCAAAAAAGCATATGAATATTCTCACCTGGTTCTGCACGCTATTCATCATCCGGGTGTAACGAATCATGGGTGCATCTTTGTGCCGAACTGGTGGCTGAGCCGCAAAAGCCAAATTAACCTCCTTTGGTGGGACCAGTTGACCAAACGGCCTGTCCCCCTGGGCTCTGTTGTTGTCGTGTGAAATACGGTTTTCATGCATCACGTTCTCTTCTCCTTGACGTTTGATCCCAGGGGGTGGAATGGCGAAAGAGTTCCCAGGCGGAACGACAGCTTGGTCCTGGGGTCTCGGAGGTGCTTTAATGCCATCGTCCTTGGAAGCCTAGAAAGAGGAGCATAAAGTAGATTTGAGAAAGACTGTCCAGAAACTAAAAACAACAACAACCAAGTGTTGACATGATAGAGTGTCCCTGCTGAAGGCTCCAGCAAACTGCTTCTCCCTAAAACGCCATTCCATTCTCCTTTTTCGGTCCCAGTGAATCAAAATCCAATTCTTTTTGAGCTCTTCTACTGATTTTTGGTGTCCTCTTTTCATTGTTGCTACTGTTCTGAACCTTTGGGTTTCCCCAGTCCTGCTGATCGTGTTTTGGCTCCATAAAGAATTCAGATTTGGAGAAAGATGTCTTCTAAAATATGGAATGACATTGACGGACTGGGCTACTAACCGGGATGAGACTGTTCTGATCTAGGCTCCCTTAACAAGCAGGAAGCAGAGTCTTGGTCCCGGCAAAACCTCTTTTATTTACACGACTGTGAATCCCTTTCGTTCACAGTCAGCAAGGCCTGTCCAAACAGTTTTTCAAAGGAATATTTCCCAACACAGACCTTATCTCGCTTGGCAAGCTGCCACGTAACTTGTTTCCAAGCGCAGTACAAGGCCAAACTTGGCACAGAGTCTCTCAGAGTCATGGAACGAACGAATTGTTTCCTGCAAAAGCCCCCTCCCCGTTTGCTCCTCTTTTGTTTCCTATGGGAGGGGCCAATCACCTCCAAGGTGTGGCTTTACTCCCAAGTTGACCCTGCTTTCTTAGTTGTCTTCTGGCAGCTCTGTGCATGCGCACACTGGGAACCAGCTCCAGCTATTCCTCTGCCTCACTGCTGTCTAGCTCTGTCTATGCCTTTGATGCAGAGCCCTTATCCAAGCTTTCCCCAGCCCCCAGGACTGGCCTATGTTCTTCCCCAACCTCCTCACTGTCCGACTCTGCTGCCAACTTTGCTGGCCGCTGGCGGCCCACAACAGAGACATTGGAACCGCACTATATTAGGCCTTTTATAAGGAATTGCTCTGGTTTCTGGACCCTTTTCTAGCACAATTCTGAGCCTCATAGCTCACCTTGACGCCTCTGCCAAATTCACGATGAGCTCAGGTTTGCTATATAACCTCCCCATCATCTCCCGTTTGTTTTATTACAGTGACATGTTTCCTGCCCTTCCAACGCAACTTACAAGTTCTCCCCCAAATATACATAGTGGTGGGGGGGAAATTGCAATGAAACGAGAAGATTACAGGCCACCAGGATGTATCCTACAGAGTTCCAGGAAAGGAGATGCTATTAGGGGAGAGAAAATACATCTGGAAGACATGGACTAGTCCCTCGTTTCTCTAAGGCCAGCCTTGAACCTTCACCTCCTGAAATGAAGCAGGCAAAAACTGGAGATAAGGCATTTCTGGGCCCCCTCCCAGCCTTAGTTGGTTTCCCAGCTGATTTCAACTCTGGCAAACATCTGGAGGATACTGGCCCCCAGATTGATTGGGACTGCTGTTCCCAGAATTAGCTAGCGGCCAGCATGGGATTTTAACCTCTTTGAGTCTGAACTGTTTTCTTACAACATGGATTTGTTCTCCAAGCTGGTTTATTATTATTATTTATTTATTTATTAGTTTTATTTCTATACTGCCCTTCCCCTGAAGGACTCAGGACGGTGTACAGCCTAATTAAAAGCACAAAGACAGACAAAATTTAAAAATAATTAAAATTATTAAATGATAGGCTCAATTTAAAACCCCAAATTTAAAATCCCATTTTTAAAAACCCAATTAAAATCTTTACCTTGATAGCCCAGCCTGGCGGAACAACAAGGTTTTGAGGGCACAACGAAATACACGGAGATCAGAGATTTTATGAATTTCTGGGGGCAGCTCATTCCAAAGGGCTTGATCACCAGGTCAGCTGCAATTTTCTACACACTGCCTCCTAAGCAATTTGGTGGGTGGGCCAGTGGAGAAACAGAAGTGTGTGCTGTTTTAGCCTAATTCTTTGCTTTTTAAAAAAAAAAAAAAAAAACAGGCTTAGAAAATACGTCCAGGGTGGTTTTACGAGAAAGAACCTGGGACCAGCCTGGCATTTTCCCTGGCATTTCAAAGCAAGAGGCCAAACCTTTGGAAGGGGAACTAAGAACTGGAAATATTGTACCTTCGGTCTAGCAAGCTGCAACACGCTCGACCCCAGTGAGTGACCGTAATGCTGCTCTTTGGCTGTCCCTCCATCCTTAAAACTCGGCATCTTCTGAAGGGTTTCCTTGAGTTTCCGGAACTCTTCCATCTGAACCTGGAGGGAGAGCAAAGACCCACAAAATCCCCAAAGCTTTAGATCTTCGATAAGAAGAGACCTAATAGATCAGATCAGGAAGTAAAAGGTACTGAGACCAATCAGTTTTTCTTCTTACTGTTCCCCCACAGCTGTTATCCAGGGCCCCCCGAGTTGTTCTTGATCTGTCTTTTCTCCCCAAATTTCTCTAAATCGCTTTCAGAAGCCAACTACCGAAACGCTCTCCGTATCCAGTGGCAGTGAGTTCCCCAGGTTAAACCCCCTTAAAGCGGCCTTTCCTTTGAAGTGTCCCACGTTAGCCCATCTACCACTTTGGGGAGGGGGGGGAATTATTGTGTTAAGGGTGACCAGGGGTGAGATTCTGCCAGTTTGGACCGGTTCGGGCAAATCGTTAGCTCCGACCAGTGGTGGGTTTCTCCCGGTTTGGTCTGGTTCGGTCGAGCCGGTAGCGGTGACGATATGACGTCACCGAACCGGTTCTCCCCCCCGCCCTCCCACCCCCCCCACATTATTCTTACCTTTTATTTGGTCCCACCCCCAATCTATTGCTGCCTCCTGAGTCCCAGCTGATGACTAGAGGGAAAAAACTGTTTAAACTCTTGCCGCGGGGCTTCAAAGGGCCGCCCTACAGCTGATCAGTGTTAAAAGCAAACAAATGAGTCGGGTCATAAGTGCGAGGACTGGTTGTAAGTGCGAGGACCTTCCAGAAATGACTCTGACTAGCTAGCCACGCCCACCTAGTCACATGACCTCCAAGCCACACCCACAAAATAAGCCACGCCCACAGAACCGGTAGTAAAAAAATTTAGAACCCACCCCAGCTCTGACGATCAGCTGCGAGCGATCAGCTGGGCCCATCCGCCCGCCCCTGCACTATACCGACCTATATTTCCTTTGTTTGAAGCCCAGCTGACAGGCGCGGCAGAGCAGATTGCCGCGCCTCACTGGGGTTGCAGTAGAAGGTAAATTTTAGAGCTTTTTTTCAAACGTACTGCGTGCACGGAGCGCGTTCGACGAGCGAAGCGAACTCAGCGAACCGGTTTTTAACACCGGTTGAAATCCCACCACTGAGGGAAACCCATTTTACTAGCTTTTGGCTATGCTGGCTGTGAACCATGAGAGCTGAGGTTCGGCCCCTCCAGGCAGGGCCAAGGGCTTTCACGGAGAGCCGAGCACTGAGTTACCTGAGCGTTGAGGAGCTGCGAGTGAACGTCCTGGTGGGCTTTCCGAAGTAGCTTGCTCTCCTCCCTTAGTTTAAAAACGGTATCTGGAAATTCAATTCAGTTCGGTTAGAAGGCGCGTTCTCCCCCTTCTTTTACCCCCCCCTCTTCCTCCTAGAGGGGTTCGGATGCCATCTTTAAGAGAGGCGTTCCCCTCCCTCGCAACCCTGGGCTCAGTTTAGAGCCCAGGGTGGCCCCCTCTGTGTCCTCCCCACCTTGTAATCCCACCACCTCGTTGTCCTTCTCCCGTTGCAGCTGGGAGTATCTCTGGATGTGGGTCTCCACCGCCTTGCGATGCTCCAGTTTCAGCCCGTTGTGTTGCAGTTGCAGGTCCAGGAACTGCTTCTTGACTTCTTCGTGCTGGTTCTGGGGAAAGAGTCAAATCCAAACCGAAAACATGGGAGCAAAACAGAGGTGGGTTTCAGCAGGTTCTGACCAGTTCTGGAGAACTGGTAGCGGAAATTTTGAGTCGTTCGGAGAACCGGTAGTAAAAATTCTGACTGGCCCCGCCCCCATCTATTCTCTGCCTCCCGAGTCCCAGATGATCGGGAGGAAATGGGGATTTTGCAGTATCCTTCCCATGCCACACCCACCAAGCCAAGCCACGCCCACCAAGCCAAGCCACGCCCACCAAGCCACACCCACAGAACCGGTAGTAAAAAAATTTGAAACCCGTCACTGGAGCAAACCCTAGCAATGGAGCGAACGTGTCTCATTTCTGCCTTCCCAAATTTCACAATTTATGGTGCGTATTTTTATCTGTTGATCCCTAAACCCAGCTGGGCAGGTTTTTGTTTTGTTTTTTTGTTTTTTAATTTGATTAATATGCCGCCCTTCTCCGGAGACTCAGGGCGGCTTACAATGCGCTAAGCAATAGCCTTCATACTTTTGTATATTTGTACAAAGTCAGCTTATTGCCCCCACAAACTGGGTCCTCAATTTACCTCCCTTAGAAAGGACGGAAGGCTGAGTCAACCTTGAGCCTGGTGAGATTCGAACCTGCAGTAATTGCAGGCAGCTGGTCTTAATAACAGGGTGCCTTAGACCACTGTGCTACCAAGGCTCTTAGGTTTAGATGGAAGGCAGAGTCCAAGCTCCAGGTCAAATCCCCAACTCATGGTCAACGTGATCACAATTCAGACGCTTGGCAACTGACTCATACTTACGACGGTTACACTGTCCCAAGTTCATGGGATTCCCCTTTTGCGACCAGCAAAGCCAGATTCACTTAGCAACTCTGTGTGTGTGTGACTAACTTAACAACGGTGGCCAAGAAAAGTCGTAAAACGGGGCAAAACCCACTTAACAAATGTCTCGCTTGGCCACAGAAGTGTTGGGCTCAATTGGGGTCGCAAGCGGAGGAGGATCTGTATTTTAAGCAACCAGAGAGGATTTCCTCCCTAAATTTGGTACGTGGAAGGAATAAAATCCAGGTTTTTTTGGGGGGGGGTGGAAACCAGGATTGAAGTTCTCCCTGCAACAGACTTGGTGAGTTTGGATTATCACGGAACCGAATACGTCTTGTCTCGAGCCCCGTTTTGCATCTGGCTGACGGGCTGGTTTCTAATTTAAGCCGAACAAGCTGATCCAGGAGCGTTGAAGTCTCTCTTCCCTGAGTGAGTCTCGGGGAAAATGCACGCAGAGCTGCAGCCACTCTTCCATCAAGCCAGGCTGACACATAATCGATAACACTCTCCCCCCCCCACCATGGCATGACGCAATGGCGCAGTGCTACTTAACATGGCCAAGTTTACAAGCCAAATAATTGCTGCTTTTACTTGAGCAGCAGGAGGGAGAGATTTATGGGGGGGGTCTTACCGGCCTGGCTTGTTTCCATTCATGGATCCTTTCAGTGTGTTGGTGTGCAGGGTTTGTGTGTGCTAAATTGAATGAGGTAGGAATATTTGCTATTCTAGCTTTCCCTGCCTCCAGCGTTCCTCATTGTTTCCGCAAACCCCCCCCCCCGGTGATATGCGGCAATTAGCAAGGGATAATTACGGTTGCCAACATTAGCCAGACCCGGTGGTTTTAAAACTCCCTTGTTCCCAAAGTGGTTGAGCTGTCCAGTGTTGGAAACAGTGTCCCGTTCTTATTCAAGACAGGGCAGCAAACCTCTGATTCATGCAGAGTTTGAAGAAACCTGGCTTATCGCAGGTTTGAATTGTGGGTAACTTGAATGCCGGGAGCTGTTGAAAAACAAGACGCTGGATTACATTGCCCTGATTAGTGACTGTTGTGGTCTCTTGGCCCCTCCAGCAGCCGACTCAGAGTAGGAGGAGGCGTGGGAGTCAGGATCAGCCTCAAGGCAACCTGAGAGCTCCGACAGGGAAGGGGGAATGGAGCTGTCAGAGAGAGAGAGAGAAAGAGGCGGAGCCTGGGCCGTCTGTCAGCCCTCAGATGGAGAGTCAACAGCCCCCAGGTCTGGAGGTGGCTGATGAGGAAGAGGAGGAACAGCTGGGTCCAGTGCCTGATGCGCAGAAGGCAGAGGAGAGGAGAGCAGTGGAAATCTATAGGCCGGTCCTTGGGATGGAAGAGCCATTGCTGCTAGAGAAGCCCCCACCCTAGCTCTGGGGATAAAAGGCAGGGGGCGGAGATGAATAGATGTGACAGACAACTATTCATCTCCCTGCGGGACAGACTTGCTAGCTTGCGGTGAGAGAGAAACTTTTTGCCAGGGCTGCTGGCGCTCTTAACAAAGGAATCATTGATTTAAATACAAAGGATTTGTCGTGTTTGGTGAGCTGGGTCAGAACAGTGACAAGTGCTCTCCAGAGCATGTCTCGAGAGCCACAGGCTACCCCCCCAGACTAACCAAACTTATAAATACAAGGCGAAGAGGGGTCTCCTTACCTTCAGTATCTTGTGTTGTGAACTTAAGGAGCCGTATCTGTTCATGGAATCTTGCTGCAGTGAGAAAAATCACAATAATCATGATTGCGACTAACTGCGCTAATAATTCACAATTGTCCCTTTCTCTTAAACCTACATAAACACCGTCCTCAACTCTCCATCACTTTAATAACCTACATAATGGCCTACTGGAAGTTTTTAAGAAGATGTTGGGTAACCATTTGTTTGAAGTGGTGTAGGGTTTCCTACCTAAGCAGGGGGTTGGACTAGAAGACCTCCAAGGTCCCTTCCAACTCTGTTATTCTATTGGATTTTGATTGTTTTCTCGAATTAACCCCTCCCAGGCTCACACAATGCATCAAATCGCCTTCTGAGCAAATAGACTTAGAATCCTATCACATACTTGCAGATTCGGAAAAACCAAACTTAGCACGTAGTAAAACTGCAACTATTCGGTCTTTATGTGCTGTGTGAACGCTCTCTCTTTATTAAGGGCAACTTCTAAATCCTGCCACAAAGGTGAAAAGATCACAGTGGCTGCTGGATAACTTGGTTTTGTGCCCTGGATTTCTCGAGAACGCAAGTAAGGATGGGTTAGCAAAGGAAGAGAACATTTTCACTGAAATCCAGCACACCTTGGATCTAGACTGATCCTCTAAAACTCTTCTCCCTCCCTTTTTTTTTTTTAAAAAACACACGTATGCCTTCCAAAGGGATCCAATTTTACTCACCTTTTCTTTATTGAGTGCTTCCTGCGCCTCCAGTTTGTATACTAAAAAATCTACAAGGCAAAGCAGAACAAAAAGGAAATTAAAAGGAAGGAAGGAACGGGGAAAACGGCGAGATGCAGGTTTACTGAAACCTGGTTTACCTTGCAGCGAGGTTTATGAAGTTAATAGGATGGAATGCCCCCACTATTTAAAAAATAATAATAATTCCTGGGCAAGCAAGTACAATTTTAGCCCAGCTTAATAATATCTACTTATGAGCAGTTACTGGAATACAGTGCTTTCTTGGGAGCATCAAGTAAGGAAACGGAGGTCAGCTCTTTGGGGTCTCGACTTTGTCAACTTCTGGACTTCAACTGGCTGGGGAATTCTGGGAGTGGAAGTCCACAAGTCTCAAAGTGGCCAAGGTTGGACGCTAAGCCTTAGATTCTCTTTATGAATTCTTCAGTGCCAGACAAATTTAGCCATCATGGTGCTAAAGAGACACAGTGTCAGGTTTCGATGCTATCTCAAAATAAATGAACTTCCAAACTGCCGATCTTTAAGGAAATCTGCAACCTGATCCTGATTCTTCCCGGTCGGTACTGACCTTTGCCCCCCCATCCCTCCCTTTCCGATCCCCAATTCTCTGCTTCTCATTGGCTATCTTCCAAGTCACTCTCCTGATTCCTTTCTTCGTCAGGTCACAGGAATGTGTCCCCCCTCCCCATCTCCAAGGAGACTGAATCTTCAAAGGGATTTAGCAGGCAAAAGTTCAGGCTTCTCCTCCCTTTTCTATGTCAGTTCTGAGACGCTGACACACAGAAGGTATTTTGGACATTCTGGTCAGGGGTGGGCTTCAAAAATTTTAGCAAGGGTTTCTCTGCCCAGTTGCTGGGTGGGTGTGGCCTAGTCGGCCTCCTGCACCACGGTGGGGGAGGGCATTTTTGTCCTCCCCAGGCTCCAGAGGCTTTTCTCGAGCTTCCGGGAGGGCGAAAACAGCCTCCCCAGGCTCCGGAGGCCTTCCAGAACTTCCAGTAGGCCCGTTTTTTGCCCTCTCCGAGCCTCCGCGCGCGCCTTGCACTTACGGGCTGCGTGGGGACTCCTGGGATGGGTGGGGCAGGGTGGGCAGGGCCAGCCAGGAGTGGGATTTGGGGGTTCTCCGAACTGCACAGAATCTTAACTAGAGGTTCTCCTGAACCCCTGCCAACCCCCAGCAGCCCCATCCCCAATTCTGGTCCTGCGCGATTTCACTGCTCATTTCTGCCTCGTGGCCCGTGGAACCTGCCCTCTGTCTGATTTTTAAGTGTCAAGGATTAAACTCACACTGGAACGATCTTTTCAAAAGAACCGATCGCGATCCAAGATTGGAAAACCCACCTTCTTTTGTTTTCTTGTGCTCGCTGCGTTCTTTCTGCAGGGAACGTTCAAGGCGGGATCGGTGTTCGTAAACGACTGCAACCAAGTTGGGAAAAAAAAAAAAAAGGAAGTACGTACAATAGCAAGCAAAAAATACGACCTGCACATTCACACAGTTAAGAGTTCTTTAAAAAAACCAAACAAACACGAATCCATTTGCATTGGGTTCCGTTCGCCCCAGAAAGTGGATTGCAGGAAATTTCCATCCATCCAATTCAGTAAACGGAGTCGCCGAATGAATAATGAAGAATGATTATTCCTGCCTGCCACACAGCAATTAAGGATCCAAATTTTAAAATGTGAACAGCGATAAGGATGATGAAAAAAAAAAGAATAACTGCAACAGAACTGCTCCAATATTCGGCTCATACAAAGCAAAAGGAATTGTGAAAGAATATAAAATTTGACCTGCTGGGTTAAGAAACCGTGTTCAGAATTGCTCTAATAGTTGATCAAACCTGAACCGTATTTTTAATTTAGTGTCTTAGAATGTAAACTTTTTAGCCTTTAGATTTCAATCTGAATCTTTGCCATCAAATTGCAGCCAAAACTTTGGGGATTTTTTAAAAAGAGATGTTGACTTACAATGTTGATAGGTCACCTTCCGAAGACCAGATTACGAACAGATCTTATCAACGTACTTGCTAAGAGTGGACAATGATTCAATGGCACATAAAATGAAACGGGAAGTTGACTTTGGCAAGCACTGCCCAATTCAGCCTGAAATTAGACGGTGACTTAACACAAAAGCCCCTGTCCAGCCAGCTGAAAACGTGAACGGGATGAAAACGTGAACAACATTGTTGTTTTTACCTTTTGAGTTTTAAAAAAACGGAGACCGCTTCCTTCTTGTTGTTATTCTTTTTCCATCCGCTAAGTCAAACAAGACCAAGCTCTCTTTTCCAAATCCTGGATCTTTAACAATGGTGTTTTGTAAGCTTGAAAAGGGAGTTCTACAAAGTTTTTTTTGTTTTTTGTTTTTAAACTGATCGAATTTTGATAGTCTGGCAGGGAAACTAAATGGTTGGATCAGATCTGACGTTTTAGAGAACATTTGGCGGCTGCACACTAAGGACTAGAAACACGCAGAAGCCAAAATGCATCCTTTTTTTTTTTTTTTTTTTTTGGAACATTGAAAAATGCTCAAAAGTATTCCCATTTCTACAGCCTCCATCCAACCTGAATTGCATGGTTCTCTCTTTTGAACTACATACCTGATCATTGGCCCAAAGTCACCCAGCTAAGGCTAAAACAGGACTCGAACTCACCGTCTCCCTCTTTTTTAGCCTGGTGCCTTAATCACTAGACCAAACAGTCTCTCTCTGTGGATGGGGTGTGTGTGTGTGTGTGTGTGACTTTGAGATAATCCACCCCCCCACACACACACTTTTTGCTTTTTTGCTAGAATTGTGTTTTCATCTCCACGTTCCCCCAACTTCAGCACTACATCGAGATGAGGTTATCGCAAAGGGCTAGACTAGGTTAAAAAAAGGGGGTCGCTTCATTTGTGACCTGAATTTGTGAGCCGTGGTGGCGCAGTGGTTAGAATGCAGCATTGCAGGCTGACTCTGCCCACTGCCAGGAGTTCGATCCTGACCGGATCAAGGTTGACTCGGCCTTCCATCCAGTGGCGAAACCCTCTGCGGATTGCCGTGTTTCCCCAAAAATAAGACCCTGTCTTATATCTTTTTGAACCCTGATTGTTGGAACCCAGATGTTAACTCTGTACCCCGCTTGGAGAGGGCATGTATAGCACTGTGAAGCAGTATACAAGTCTATGTGCTGTTTGTTTGTTTATTTATTTATTTATTTATTTATTTATTTATTTATTTAATCAAATTTCTATACCGCCCTACTCCCGAAGGACTCAGGGCGGTGAACAGCCAAGATAAAATACAGATAATACAAATATTAAAAATCCCTTAAAATTATTAAAATTATTAAATATTAAACACAGATTAAAACACCCAATTTATAAAGTCACGAATTAAAAAATTTAAAAAATTTAAAAGAGGGGAGTTAGGCTGTTGCTGTTGTGTTGTATAAGCCAGTGGTGAAATGTAAAATTTGTTACTACCGGATCTGTGGGCGTGGCTTGGTGGAAGGGGTAATATGACTGAGTGGGCGTGGCCAACTTTTTTTTAAAAAACCATTTTTTCTACCACCTCTTCGGCTGAAGAGGTTGTAAAAAAAATGCTTTTAAAGCCTCTGACGATCCCAGCTGACTTGCCTGATCGGCAGAGGCTTTTTTTTCCTTTTAAAAACATTTTTTCTATAACCTCTTCAGTCGAAGAGGTTGTAGAAAAAATGCTTTTTAAAAGCCTCTGATGATCCCAGCTGAGCGCGCGATCATCAGAGGCTTTTTTTTTTTTTTTACTTTTAAAAACATTTTTTCGGCCAAAGAGGTTGTAGAAAAAAATGCTTTTAAAGCCTCTGATGATCCCAGCTGACTTGCCTGATTGGCAGAGGCTTTTTTTCCTTTTAAAAACATTTTTTCTATAAAAAATGCTTTTTAAAAAAATGCTTTTTAGAAAATGCTTTTTAAAAGCCTCTGATGATCCCAGCTGAGCCGGGAACATTTCACCCCGGTCTGAGCCCAGCCTTGTAAAAACATTATGGATGAACGAGGCCGTCCTTTGAAGCTCTAATGTGATTGCTTTCTTTCGGCCCCAACCAGTGACGTGGACGCAACTGTTCTGTTAACTCAGGTTTTCTGCCTTGCATGACACACACCACAAAAAAAGGCATTCTAGCGTTGGGAAAAATCCAGTTTATAGGCAAAACTATTAACCGGTGGCTGGTTTTGCTGCGAGGGATTAGCATGGAAATTTTTAATTGATGTTTGTCTTGTGTTTTTAAATAGGCCGTACACTGTGTGAGTCCTTCGGGGAGAAGGGCGGTATAGAAATAAAATTATACTTATATTTACTTACTTTTCCACTCAAGCCCAACCGGATCTGTAAAAAGCTTTTCGAGGGTCTCTCCTTCTTTGCAAATCTATTCTAGGAAACAACGACCGGCTGGAAAAAAGCAGGCCAGTCTCTCTGACCAGAATTACTGAAGCGGGCATGAGGCCAGGATTTCTGAGCTGAGAGCCAAGTCCTATGCCAAGCAAGCAAACATACAAAAAAAAAAATACCGCACACGCCAGCAGGCTGAAATAAACACACACACACACACATACTGTATGCAAGCAACGGGTCACAAGGATTTTCAGAGCTGGGACACGTGTGCGTTTTGCATCTAGAGAAGGCTGTGATTTTCAGAAAAGGCGTCTTTTCTCCGTGCGAGCAAAGAAAGTATTGTGAGCCGCGCGCAAAGCAGAGTTTGGAGATTTCTTTTTTAAAGTTTTGGCATGTTGGAGGAGTTATGTTGGAGTGGCCTTGCGATCTGTATTTATTTTCATTTATGTGTATTTATACCCCATCTTTACATGGGGCTGCCCAGAGGTTCCAGCTGCGGGCGCGTGGATTGTTACAGGAGCTTCCCGTTACTCCCGTGTTACACCTCTCCTGCGCGAGCTGCACTGGTTACTGGTGGTCCTTCGGATCCGCTTCAAGGTGCTGGTGCTTACCTATAAAGCCCTTCATGGCATGGGCCCGGGGTACCTGCAGGACCACCTTCTGCCTGCCTCCCACCACCCTGTGCGCTCACATAGGACTGCCCTCTTCCGGGTGCCATCGGCCAGACAATGTCGGCTGGGGGCGCCCAGGATGAGGGCGTTCTCTGTGGGCGCACCGACCCTCTGGAATGGGTTACCCACAGGGCTCCGGACGGCCCCCGACCTCCGCTCTTTCCGCCGTGACCTGAAGACATGGCTTTTCCAACAAATTTGCTGATCTGATGGGTGATTTTTAATCGGGAGATTTTAATTGATTATTTTTAGTAGCTATTTTTATTGTTTTCATCGTTTTAATTTCCCGAGTCCTTTGGGAGAAGGGTGGCGTATAAGTATAATAAATAAATAAATAAATCTTTATTTATTTATTTTTAAATGAACAACTCGAGGCAGTGGACATATCTAACTATTCCTTTTTCCTCCTCTTTTCTTCAAAAAAAACAACAACGCCCCTGTGAGGCGGGTTGGGTTGAGAGAGAGGGACTGGCCCACGGTCACCCAGCTAAGGCAGGATTAGAAATCAGAGTTGCCTTAACCACAACCACCCCTCTCAAACTGCATGTCAGAATGTCTCCAGGGCTTACTCTCCGGCATCAAGTTTCTAGTCCTCTTTCTTGGAACGATCGAAAAAGTGACTCGATAATCCCTCCACGTTTTTTGATGTCTACGGCATCTCTTCTTCCTATCTGTTTGGTGCCTGTCTTCCTGCTGTTCTCGAATTCCTTATGACCGGGGAAAAGTACAGTATTCTCAGCCGGAGAGTGTTGACATTTCAAAAAAAATCCAGATTATGTTTCTAGTTCTCATGGTGTCGAGTAAAAGGCGGGCCAACCATCTTGCAGGCATCTTTTGAAGGCGAGAGAAGATGGCAGAAATTCTGTTTCCCCCCACAACCACATAATATTAGAATTTGGCTGACGGGTAGCAACAAGCCTTCCCGTATAATGATGTACATTGTACAAGATCCAGAACCACAGGTGAAGATAGCTTAAAATCACAGACAGGGAAGTGAGTTCTACAGGATTCGGAGACGGAAGGAAATCTTTCAATCAGCCGACAGATAAAAACTGTGGAATTTGCTCCCGGAGAGGCTGTGTTTGCATAACCCTGCTGTACGACACACCCCCGGACGTTGCAAAAATGTAAACACAATCCATTATTTTGCCTTTCCATGTTGCTGCGTGGACCAGGCCCACACAGTACCTCTTCCTTCCTTGAGCTGCACATGACATAAGCCCAGTGTCAGCACTTCACACCACATTTACTCTAGTGCTGACATAAGAAGGAGAAGCGGAGGCGTCTGGAAAGGGACGTTTGACTTTTCACCTACTTATTTTCCCTGGAGATAATATCCCCTAGGAGATGGGATGGGAGGGGGGAAATTCCTTTGAGCTGGAGCAGTAGATTAGGGGTAGAGTGACTTGGAAGATGGCCAATGAGTGCAGGGGAGTGGGGAACGGGAAAGGGAGGGTTTTGGGTCTGGAAGTCAGTGTTGGCTGCGATGGAGTCGGAGTCAGAATGCCGTGCTTAATAAATGGGAGTTTTTCTTCAAAGGCTTTGTTTGAAATGCAATTTATTTGAGACGACCTCGAAACCTGACACCCAGCTGTTGTGATCGTAATTAGCCCCGATTTAGGGTCTGCCAAGTAGGTGATTGCTCCGCTAGATAAGTTTGAAGCCTGAAATGTTGAAAATGGCACCACCAGGCGCTTAGAATAATAACCAAATGGGACTTTGATGTCCTAAATTAAGCCATACCAGGTGGGAAGACATCCTTCCTTGTGGATTATTGCATCTCGTCCTCAATTTAAGACTTATGACCCTTTTTCACATTTAATGACCGTTGCAGCATTCCCCCACATGATCAAAATTCAAAACGCTCGGCAACTGGCATGTACTTCTGACTGTTGCAGTGTCCCGGGGTCACGTCATCCCCTTTTTGCGACCTTCTGACCAGCAAAGTCAAGTGAGGGGTGGGGGGGAGCCAGATTTCTTTAACAACCGGGTTACTAACTTAACAGCTACAGTGCTTCACTTAACGACGGGGGCAAGAAAGGTCGTAAAAGGGGCTGAAACTCAATCGACTGTCTTTTTTAGCGATGGCAATTTGGGGCTCAATTTTGGTCGCAAGCCGAGGACTACCTGTATCAGTATTGTCCCGACGGGGATCAAAATGCCGCCTTAGAAAGCCTTCCCCAGGCCAGCACCATTCTTTTTATCTTCTCAATCACCCTCATTTTGTCTCCTTCAATGACGTAGTCAAATGCTCTCATTGCGGACAAAAGCTGACCTAGATAAACCTTTAGACCGATTTTTATTTTTCTAATACCAGGATAGGCAAGAGGGTGCCCACGGGCACCCCCTCCCCTAAAGTTTCCTCTCACAGCGCCTTTCTCCTCCAGCCCTGATTTCACTTTTCTTTCCGAGTCATTGAAAGCTGAAAGGAGGAAGGGCTGGGAGGCAATTCCCCAAAGTGGCTCCTTCCTGCCTTCCTTCCTTCCCTCTTATCTATGCATTTTTCCTTCCGTTTCCTTCCTTCCTCCCCCTCCCTCCCTCTCTCTTTCTTTCTTCTATCTATGCATTTTTCCTTCCTTCCCTCTTATCTATGCATTTTCCTTCCTTCCCTCTTATCTATGCATTTTTCCTTCCATTCCCTTCCTTCCTTCCCTTCCCTTTCTTTCTTCTATCTATGCATTTTTCCTTCCTTCCTTCCTTCTTCCCCTTCCTTCTCTCTTCCTTCCTTCTCTCTATGCATTTTTCCTTCCTTCCCTCTTATCTATGCACCTCCTTCCTTCCTTCCTTCCTTCTTATCTATGCATTTTTCCTTCCATTCCCTTCCTTCCTTCCCTTCCCTCTCTTTCTTTCTTCTATCTATGCATTTTTCCTTCCTTCCTTCCTTCTTCCCCTTCCCTCTCTTCCTTCCTTCTCTCTATCTATGCATTTTTCCTTCCTTCCCTCTTATCTATGCACCTCCTTCCTTCCTTCCTTCCTTCCTTCCTTCCTTCCTTCCTTCCTTCCTTCCCTCCCTCCCTCCCTCCCTCCCTCTTACCTATGCACTTCTCTTCCTTCCTTCCTTCCCTCCCTCCCTCCCTCCCTCTTACCTATGCACCAGCCTTCCTTCCTTCCTTCCTTCCTTCCTTCCTTCCCTCCCTCCCTCCCTCCCTCCCTCTTACCTATGCACCAGCCTTCCTTCCTTCCCTCCGTCCCTCCCTCCCTCTTACCTATGCACCTTCCTTCCTTTCCTTCCTTCCTTCCTAACAAGCCCAGGTCAAACTTTGCAGCCAAGAGAGAGTCTCTTGTCCGAGGTTACCTTCCCCACCTGATCCTACCTGGAAATGCTGGGTGGGGGGGAGGCGGGGAACGGAAGAGAGGATGTCAAGCTGACCCTTGCGGCCTGGGAAATTCCTCCTCCCCATTAACCCCCAGGCCTCTCAGGACTGCCTCCCTTAGAAACGGAGCCCTGGCTGGGCTGGAGATCTGACTTCATCCCACTTTGGCAGGAGAACCCGTTGAGATCTAACTAAGGGAAAGCAGCCAACACAGGGAGGGACGGAACTTCCCGGCAGATGGGATACTTAGGGGTGGGTGGGAAACCCCAACAGCAACCCCCAACACACACCCTGAACCCCATCTCTCTCTCTCCCCCCCCCCTCTCACCTTGCAGCTGGGCGGAAAGAGCTTCCTGTTGCTGTTTGAATTTGGAGGCTGAGTCTTCGGCAGCCTTCACCTTCCGCTGGAGATGGTTGTAGAGGAGAACTCCAGAGCCCAGGCAGGCGAGCGCTAAGAAGCAAAACCCCGTTTGCAAAAAACCTTTCTGTCTTCTGCTACAAATGGCAGTGCCCATCTTGGAAACTCGGTAGGGGCTTTTCTCCCCCTTTCTTTCTTTCTTTCTTTCTTTCTTTCTTTCTTTCTTTCTTTCTTTCTTTTCCCCCTTCTTTTCTTCTTTCTCGGGTTTTTTTTTTTCCTTCTTTTTCTTCTTTTTTTACCAGCCTGCCATCTGGTTGAAATCAGACAATGTTCTTTTTCCCTTAAGCTTCGGGGCTTTGCAAAACAACAACAACAACAACAAACTGTTCAGCAGCTTTCGTCTTGGGTTGGCAGGCCGGGCAATTCTTATCCCTCTGGCCGGAGGAAAATGGGGGGAAAAAAAGGCATTTGCAGGCTTCAATCAAAAAAAAAAAAAAAAGTGTCTCTTGCCAATCTTTAAAAAAAAAAAAATGGAAGGAACTTCTTATTTTTTTCTCTTCTAAAGTATTGACTTCTTGTCTGGAGTATTATTTTTTTTTTCCCTTGCTCACCCAGACACACAGATCCAGGTTGTGCAAATAAAACTCCGGAAACTTTTGAGGCTGTAGAAGAGGAATTTTTTTTTTTTTTCAAAGTCCGAACAAAGCTAGCAAATCGAGAGGGTAAAAGTTTCTTGACTGCCTGGCATCCCGGTCCCTCGCTCCCATAGCAAATCCTTTCCGGTGGGAGAATCAGGAAGAAAAATAAAATAAAATAAATTCCCTTTATCAAGAGATTGAGCTGTTCGGTCCTCCCAACAACCCCTCAGCCAGTTTCATTTCAGCTTGCAACAGGAGGAGGAAAGGAAAAGGGTGGAAGGGAAGAGAGGAAACTGGACTGAAGAAACCCACCAGATCTATTCCCCAGGCTGCTGCCTTCCTTCCTTAGGCTGCTGGAGACCCCCTCCCAGCAAGGGCAACTTATGGGGAGGGGTGAGAAGCGTGAAAAGCAAGCAAAGGAGAAGGGGGAAAAAAAAGAAAACAGTTTGGCAGTTTGGAGAAGGGAATGAAGGATGCAGAGCTGGGCGGAGCTGAACTAGGAAGGAAAGGGGAGGCGGTGGGAGAAAGGGGACGGACGTTGAAGGGCTAAAAAGGAGGGGAGGAAACGCGGATGCAAGAAGGGAGACTCTCTCTGGCCCCTGGGATGCCTTAAGGTGTTCCAGGAGACAGAAGTATGTACTACTTCCTTCAAAGTTTCCACCAGGAGAAGACCAGGACCGAGTCTCATGGTCTTCCTAAGCAGAGAGAGAAGGTGTTTTTGGCAGCTAGACTGCTCCCGAGACTGGTGGTTCTTCTACTCGAAGCTTGGAGTTGGCCATGGGTGCTTTCACCCTTGGCATCCTGCAATTGCTGTTCATGGTTGGCTGAGCGAGTTTGCCTGGACCCCAGTCATGGGAAGTTGCAAACTCTGATGTTTTGGTTGGTGGGAAATCGAGCCAACTCTGACATGCATTTAAAACCATGGTTAACCAAACAAGGGGCTTAAGTTAATGCCCAACATCTGAGTTTGTTTTTGTTTTTTTTCCCCAACTTTCCGGCTCTCCTCTCCAAGTGGGGAACAGTTTTCGAAAGTTTGATGGAAACTGAGTTTTTGGCTGTTTGGGGAATAAGCCCAATTCAGGCAATGCGTTTATTGATTTAGGACACACTCACAAAACCAGCAAACACACTTTTTAAGTTCCCTGAATCTCTTTCTCATGCTGGACCTTAAATAATTTATAGCTCGGGCTGTAACGGATGAGATTTATTTTCTTTGTTTTTAAAGTCTGCTGAACAACTAGAAAATTAAACAGAAACAATGGTTGGTTAGTGAAACTGTTCTTCTGTTACAGCAAAAATGTTGTGCTTGGTTATAGTGTGTGTGAGAACATGGCTTGTGGCTCTGAAATGAACCCATCTCGTAACACGGTTTATTTTGTCTTGCTGTTTTCGGTGGGTACCACAATGGTTGGTAACTTAGCCTTTGTCGTTGAATGTGCGAGCTCAGCTAACTAGTCTATTTAATCAACCATGCTTAGATAAATCATAGCTTGATGTCATGATGCAGACCTGCTCCTAATGTGAAAACTGGGTAAAATATATGGCTTGACACTTCGTACGTTCTCAGGCAGACCTTTGCTAATCATCTGCCATCTTGGAAATCCTTTGAGTTACAGCTTTTCCACTTTGGCCACCTACGGTCTATAGGCCAGAAGATGCCCTATTTTGCATCATAAATAATGTTTTTTTTTTTTAAAGGACGCCCTTCATACATTCCATAGACTGGGTGTCAGCAACCCGCGACTCCGGAGCTGCGTGTGGCTCTTTGGGTACTCTGCTGCGGCTCCCTGTCCCATCACTGGCTGGCCTCGCCCCTCACCCTCCCCTCCCAGTCACTCCTCGCCTGGCCTTGGAAATCCAAGAGATACAGAGAGAGGGGGGGAAAGAGGGAGAGGGGGAGAGAGAGACATAGATACAGAGAGAGAGGGAGATAGAGAGGGAGAGGGAGAGGGGAGAGAGAGATACAGAGAGAGTGGGTGAGTGGTGAAGATAAGAGTGGGGGAGAGAGAGATACAGAGAGGGGGCGAGAGAGAGACATAGAGAGAGAGAAATGGAGATAGAGAGGGAGAGGGGGAGAGAGATAAGGAGAGAGCGGGTGAGCGGTGAAGATAGAGAGGGGGAGAGCGAGACAGAGGGGGGGGAAGAGAGAGAGAGAGAGAGAGAGAAAAGGATTTTGTGGTTCGCGGTGCTTTTTAACAACCGGTTCTCTCCCCTAATGATCGACTGGATAGGCGTGGCTGGGGTGTGTGTCATGTGACTGGGTTGGAGTGAGTGACGTGGAGTTGGCCACGCCCACCCAGATTTTGTGGCTCCCGATGTTTTTTTTTCTGTGGGAAACAGGTTCTACTTACCTTTACTACCGGTTTGCAACGGGATCGCACGCCATGCGCAGATCGCCGATGACGACATTCGGGGCGGAGGGCGGGGTTCTTGTGAACCTGTCCGAACTAGGGGCAACCCGCCACTGGTCCAAATGGCTCTTTGAGTGTTTAAGGTTGCCGACCCCTGGCTTAGACTGACAACAACTGGGCCTGCCTGCCTGCCTGCTTTCTTCTTTTTCTCAAGAATGCCTTTCCAGTGGCAACCGAAGCCCAAGTGACTAAGCTACCAAATAAATAAATAAATAAATCAATAAATCAAACCCCAGGCAGGCAGGCAGGCGAAGTCCGAGCCAGCTCCGGCTCGCACAGAGAGGATCGATATTTCAGAATGACAGCGAGATGGGTTTGCCTTGTCATATTTATAGCCGGTTGTTGGCAAGGACCATTGAGGCAAGCGGACGAAGGGCTCCTCCTCACCATGGTAATTCCAGCCAGGCTTGCTAAGGAGCCAAACGGCAATTCTGCTTAATGGCCGAGGAAAAGCAAGCTTGGCATTTCTGCCGATTCTAAGTATAGGGAAGGATCGGTCCACTCCATTTGCAACAAAAGCCCAAAGCATCTCCAAAAGCTCTCCAGGACAAAAGAGCTTTTTTTCTTCTTCTTCTTCTTCTTTTTTCTGTGGACTCTTTAGAAGCGCTGGAGGAAATAATTGCAAAACGCCTTGAGCTGCAAAAGCGACTCGCTCATTTGAGTCAAATCGCCTGAGCCATCGCGGGACAGCAACAACGAAGCTAAAGCTTGAATATTTTTTGACTCCAAACGCAGAGAAAACCCAATGCTTCAAAACAAGGGAAGGCGACTGAAAAAGAAGCCAAATTATAATAACGGTTATGGAGCCATTGGAACACGGGTCGCTTGAAAGGCAGAGATGGCGAAGACAAAAATACTCGTTTTCCTAGTGCGCCGCGTTGTGTGATATCGCCTCCTATGTCAGGTTCATAAACTGGTCCAAAACCGTCATCTCTTAATTTCTCAGCGCCCCTCTCGTCTTCGTTCTCGTTTAATTCTTTTTAAAACTTGGTGAATTTTTAAGGCTTGGCTAGAAGGCTTTATAGAAATCCCTGGAGGATATAAAAGTCAATTTTCACCCATTCATTAAGAAAAAGCCAGGGGAAGTTTTATCGCAAAAGCGAGGAAATCCTCGCCCAATAGTCAAAAATGACATCTGGACCGTAGCCCTTATCTCAAAGCACCTCCTTTCACATGAAAAACTAGATAAGACTTTTCCCTGAGATGCTGTTTCCCTCCTCCTCCTCCTCCTCTTCCCCTCCTCCTCCTCCTCCTCCTCCTCCTCCTCCTCTTCTTCTTCTTCTTCTTCTTCCTCTTCCTCTCCTTCTCCTTCTCTTCTTCTTCTTCTTCTTCTTCTTCTTCTTCTTCTTCTTCCTCCTCTTTCTCTTCCTCTCCTCCTCCTCCTCCTCCTCCTTCTTCCTCTCCTCCTCTTCCTCCTCCTCCTCCTCCTCTTCCTCCTCCTCTTCCTCTTCCTCTTCTTCTTCTGCCATATCTGTCATTGGACATTGGCGATCATGTTGATGGTCCTATTTTTATCAACAGCCGCATTAAAAGTGCTGCCGAGTTTTGTCCAAACCGGTCCCTTAGATTTTGAAGCCATGCTGTTCTTCTTCTGCCTGGACCTCATTTGCCTTCAATCTTTCCCTGGAGGATTAAATGAAGGATGCCGTATTTTTCCAGGTATCCGGACATCACATGTCTGTTGTGTATATATGACATTGGACCTCGAGACTGCATTGCTAAATGGCAGACACAAGGCACCTTACGATCTGAAAAGACACAACAACCTAAAAGGAAAAGCCAACGGCAGGGAGAAAGAAAACTTCGCTTCCAAAACGAGATTCAATACGCTGCAGAGTCTGACATTATGATTTTCATAGTGTAGGGATCAATAAGCCACCTGGGAAAGCCAAGGGAAATCATCAAAACCCCTCTTCTTTGGGGCGGCCCCTGAGATATCGGAAGACTGCTATCCTGTCTCCCCGAGTCCTTCTTTCCATTAAACTAGACACACCCAGTTCTTCCTATGTTTTAGCCTCCAGTCCCCTGATCCTCTTTGGGGCTCTTCTCTGCACTCTTTCTAGAGTCTCCACATCTTTTTCACATCGTGGCGACCAAAACTGGGTGCCGTATTCCAAGCTTGGCCTTATTACCTAATAAGGCCTTATAAAGTGGTCTCAACCCTTCACGCGATCTTGATTCTATTCCCTCTGTTTACGCAGCCCAGAACTGAGTTGGCTTTTTTTTTTAAAAAAAAATTTGATTTACATGCCGCCCTTCTCCGGAGACTCAGGGCGGCTTACAATGTGTTAAGCAATAGCCTTCATCCTTTTTGTATATTTATACAAAGGCAGCTTCTCTTTCTTTCTTTCTTTCCTTCCTTCCTTCTTTCTCTTTCTTTTCTTTTTTTTTAAAATTTGATTTATATGCCGCCCTTCTCCGAGATTTAGGGCGGCTTACAATGCGTTAAGCAACAGCCTTCATCCTTTTTGTATATTTATACAAAGGCAGCTTCTCTTTCTTTCTTTCTTTCTTTCTTTCTTCTTTCTTTCTTTCTTTCTTTCTTTCTTTCTTTCTTTCTTTCTTTCTTTCCTTTCTTCCTTCCTTCCTTCCTTCTTTCTCTTTCTTTTCTTTTCTTTTTTTTTTAATTTTGATTTATATGCCGCCCTTCTCCGGAGACTCAGAGCAGCTTACAATGCGTTAAGCAATAGGCTTCATCCTTTTGTATATTTTATACAAAGTCAGCTTCTCTTTCTTTCTTTCTTTCCTTCTTTCTCTTTCTTTCTCTTTCTTTTCTTTTTTTTAAAATTTGATTTATATGCCGCCCTTCTCCGGAGACTCAGGGCGGCTTACAATGCGTGAAGCAATAGCCTTCATCCTTTTGTATATATTTATACAAAGTCAGCTTATTGCCCCCCACAATCTGGGTCCTCAATTTACCTCCCTTAGAAAGGACGGAAGGCTGAGTCAACCTTGAGCCTTGGCGAGATTCGAACCTGCAGAAATTCCAGGCAGCTGTGTTAATTACAGGGTGCATTAAACCACTGTGCTACTTTTGGGGTATTTAAATTTATTGGGGTTTTAAATTTGAGCCACTTATTTAATTATT